TGTTGGATGACGCGTTGTTTTTCTCTTATTGTATAAAAGTCTGAAAGTATAACATCTTATTAATATAATAAAATTGTAAATAACCGACGTCGTAGGAGATTTTTAAGAAAAAAGAAATATATATATAAGGGTTGTTAACAAGAATAATAGAAGCCATAACAGTTTGTTCCAGCATCACACGAAAGTTACTGCGTCAAATGAAATGCGGTTTACATAGTTGGGTTCCTGAATATACATACATGTACATATATACATACAGCAGAAAGATCTAGTGAATAAAGTGGCAATTTAAACTGAAAAATAGACCTATTTTGATACGTCATTTAAAATCCACGTGTACAAAGTTGCGGGTAAAATTTAGTTGGTAATATAATAAATATAAATAAATACTATTTTTAACGCTACTATTTTCCATTATTTAAAATATTACGCCGTAATGCATTGTCGAAGCATTTTTAAGTAGACACTGTCTAGATGTATATGATCTAAGTTAATTATAATAACATATTAATTTTTATTTGGTGTAGGTTAATCTCTTTACATTAATTGTAATAGGTAGATAGTGACCTATTTGCAGCTATTTCAAATGGATATCAGGCTGATGTCGAAAGAAGAATACATGATTGATGATCCCAATTTCCTATTGATCGCTTTAATGCTATCATGAGGCAGTTTATTTATGTTAGTAGTTCAGTGTGCATTTTGTGCAATTACGCAATTAAAACTACATTCCGTACCTAATGTAAATAGTTATACCGTATATTTTCAATTGTAGAGTATTACTTTTTATAGTTGCGACAGCATGAAATATATTGAATGCTGTGACTTTTTCTGCGTCAATTAAAATTAAAAGTGTCCTGTGTGTTAAACTAGAATCTGATCTATATGTAGATCGAAATTAATTTAAATCCGTTTAGTCGTTTAAGCGTGAAAATGTAACAAATTGTTAAACATATTTACAAACTTTCACATTTATAACATTAGTAGGATCATGGGTGTACACGTATATATGTGCACATACAACTATGTATATGTATTTTTTTTTATTTTGAACTTGTTTTAGATTTTTTGTTTCAAGATGTGTATGGGCTTGATCTTTCTTATCTGATAGTAAGCGATGACAAAAACTAAGATGGAGCGCACTTACCCAGAAAAAAAATATTCACCATCGAAGTAAGCTCGTTTTATAGAAATGTTATAGTAACACGCATGTTAGATAATTCATTACACACATTGTATATAAACAATGGCTTCATAGAACCCAAGAATCTTTTTATAACCTCATATTTGGACTTTACAGGATGAACACGAATTATGACGGGAATAAAGGTTATTTTAACGAATAGCATTAATTGTGCTAAATGATCATGAATTGTTAGACAAAGAGGAGTCAATGTGCTTGGTATTGATCAAATGAGGACAAATTACATGTCATTGTTCATAAATGGATACGTTATGGCTATCTTAACAATTGCTGACGGCTATATTTTAAATCTCAATAAAACACTAGCTTCTATCGATTAAGATAATAGAATGAAGTCAGTACTAATTACATTCAATTAAAATGTATTGTTATTGCATAGTCACTAGCCTTTTTTTTCATAAATAAGTGATAAATGATATAAAAATAGCCACGACATAAACAAATATAATGAGAATAAATCATTACGATAATATCAATATGCATATATGTATGCATATATTGTATGACTCATAATTTTAATAAAACTATATTATTATCCCACCGGTGTGCATACAGTACAATATAAGTGCTCAAATATAAATGAAGTAGGTATTTACTTAGTGGTTTTATTTACTCGTTATCGTGCATTTTCAACATGTATTTTATTTCGACATTTTTTTTGTATACATTATGTTATATCCATCCATTTTGAATTGATGACTTATTTCGCAAATGATGGTATTTATATGTTGAACCCACCCATATTAATTAACAATAGCCGTGTGGTTCTAGCATAGAATGGGCCAGCCCTTCTTTTTCTGTCTGTGTCGTAAGACGCGACTAAGGGAACTTCAAAGGATGGGCAGCAGCGTCCCTCTTAAAACATCAACAAAATCTAACTGCGGTTGCCAATCCGCCTGCCAAGCGTGGTAATTATTGGAAAAAACCCCTCAATAATAAAGTGTTTAGTAGTGGATAGCTTACGAAAATATGATCATGTCTCGGAATACCGCACTCGTTTAAAGTGGCTCCCAATTAGACAGCGTCATAAGACACATGTCCTAGCGGTCCTATATAATGTCCTTAATGATCTCAATTCTCCTTTCTACCTTCGTTCCCGATTCCAATTGTTACGTCCTCCTTCCAGACCTAGACGTCTTTGTCTGAACCAGTGCAGGGTACTGAAGCTTCCCAGCTGTAAAACCCATTTTATGGGTAATTCATTTGCACATCGTGCTGTACAGCTGTGGAATTATTGTGTTATCTTGTATTTGATATTTATATGTTGTATTTAACGTATATATGTGTAAATATATATAATGATTTATAATTTAATGTAAATATTTAATTTCTGTCTTGCACTACTACTGCCCACTCACTATTTCCTATGCCACTGCGTTAGGTTGACTGGAAGAAATCTCTTTTAGAGATAAGTTCGCCTTTGCTAACATTGTTATTAATTTATTGTTGTTACTGTATGTTTTAGTACAATAAAGAATATATATATATATATAGTTGATAGCTGATATAATGATGACGATTAAATCAATTTACCCACATCAAAAATTGGAGACTACCATCGCTGTTTTACTCGCGGCGAATAAACTTACATTCTAATGTTTTTAATCTTTACTCCAAGTACCACAGTAATATGTTTATGATTCATACAGTGTTGTTTCATGGAAAAAAATCTAAAATTATCAATGCACACAATTATGTAATGCAAGACGTCAACGAGCATTTTCACTGTCGTTGACGATGTGACCGATGACCTTCGATATCCGAACTTATTTATTACGCTGACCACGAACAAAATGCGTCTCAATCAATTCGTTTGGCTGCATGTGGGCGAAGACCTACACGCTAAATATTTGATGACAACCGATTCTGTTAGTATAAAGTTTCAAAAGGAAAAGGTTATGATTCGAATGCCACAGAAAAATTCTGTAGCTATGTTACTACGATTACGAGTACATTGTCAATTCTGAATTAATTATGATATTTCTTTTTGCAATTCGTTGTCCTGGTCATACGATATAGACTTGTCCCATGTTGGTTCCATATTCACTTTGACGATAGAAGCCGCCGTTTTTCTTTCAGCAAAATCCTTGTGAAGCGTGTTGACACACAATTTCGTGTTAAAAACAAATATTTTCAATCTAATCGTAGATACACGAAATATCTCGCCATTCATCGATGTGTTTCGTCACGATTGTTTGATCTTCTCTTTTAATCGGCAAACAATTTTTTTTTATGCTACTTAGAATAGCAAGCAAGCTGACGGCCCACCTGATGGAAAGTGGTAACCGTCACCAATAGACATGAGCAGTACCATGGATATAACAGAATATACTGTTTCGCAAATGATACCCCTCATGCGTTGCCATTCCTGAGGACCCAGGTGTTATTCCTCTGTACCATGTAAATTCACTGCCATATTCCACCCTTTAAACCGAAACACAGCCATGCAAACACAACTGTTTCACGGTAGAAACACGAATGGGACAGAGGTGCCCAAGCAATCGACTTTTGTGCAAAGTCTGGTAAATAGATTGAAAGAATTTGGTGTTTGGTATTCGGTATAGAATAATATTGATTGATATAGGGAGTTGGTTAAAAGATCAGAAGATGATGTCTTAATATGTCATTAAACTTCTCTTCTTTGTAATATACAATGCTAAAATAAGAGGATTTTGATCCATCGGATATATGATTCTCGAGTGTGTTTGCTGATTTAAAATTTAATTTTTTTATGCAACTTAATAAATTGTTATTTTATGATAACAAAAATGCATTTGTATTCACTACAAAAAAAAAAAATACAGAGCCCCTAAATTTAAATTGCAGTTATATGGAATTGCATTATTAAAATTTCATCATATAACCTAAAATAGAAAGGAACAGTATCGAAGACCACTGAGAACGCCCTCATATGTTCCCTAGAGGGGAACATAACTTCCTATGTCGTAGATATGTATCCGAAGGACGCAGGAAACTAGGTATAAAGTCAAAATATGTAGTTTTAATAGAGTCGTACCTACATAAATAAAAATGTTATTTCGTGACCAAATTATGAAAAAATAATAAATAGTTGTAACTTAAGTACTTAAAGTTATTTGCGAACTTATGTAACTGTATCTTAACAAAATTTTATTAAACTATAATAAATTATAAAGATCATAATCTATCGTCTATTAAGAGGTAATACTACATTTTACAAAAAATGAATTAAGATATTATAGAACGTAACAAAAAATAAGAAAGCAAAAGAATAGTGTGACTAGCACAAACGAATTTGGCTGCTTTGTTATAAAAAAAAAAATGGTAGACCGGTTCTGCGTGAGTCGAGCTCGCGCACTGAAGGTTCCGTACCAAGATGTGGTGAGTAATAAATAATGGAAATATATTAGAAATAAATCAGATTTAGGCAATATAAAGAAATAAATCGAAATAGTTTTCTTCTAACTATATACAAAATTTGCCTTAAAAAAATCTCGTATACATAGCGGCTGTCCAGTGCAGTAATATCCTCATAAAAGGAGACGCGTGGTCAACAGTAGGACATCAGCGGGTGAAGAACAATAATTGCAATATTACTTGCAGATTACAAATGATAATCTAAGGCATCATAGGCACATAGATATGTAAATAACATTTTATTGAATAAGTAAATTATTGAATATTATTAGGCATGTCTATAAAATATATTATTATATCATATATAATAAAGAGCAGTAAATCCCTTTCCCTATGACCTCGATATGAAATACAATTATTAACTACACCAATAAATATAAAGAAAATACAGATGGGCAAAGCACCGGGTTTAAACCCGGTGCTTTGGTAAAAACCCAATAAACACCCATAAACTCCCATAATCACCCAAAAAAATAGGTTTTTACGTATTTTTTTGAAAATATGTAAGTAATACCAATAAATTATTTTTATAAATTGTATTGATCAATTCTACAATATTAAATAAAACGTTAACTAATAATATTTCAGGAAATTTTAAAAATCTATATATAATAAAATGAAAGTAATTAATTTTCAGTGTTTTCATGTTGCAGTTGATCAACATGTTGGCCTTTTGCTTCCCGTAGATACTTTAAAATTTCTTCATAACACCTCGTTCGCACACATGGCCGTATATATTTAAATTCTTGAGCCACTAACAGTCCGAAATACTCATTTCTTTTATCCTCTTCTCCATAAATTAAGCATTTAGAACAGTTTGTTTCTTCTTTCAGTAAATTTTCTTTTACTTTATCCTCGTTTTTTTCTTTGTTGCGACGACGCTGGGTAAATCATCTGGACACTGGGTCTCACTATCGCCAAATATATTTGGAGATCGGCTTCGGCTACGGCTTGGCAGACATTTTTTTCTTTCTACAATTTTAAATTAAATTTATTAGAATAAATGCTTCGAACACACGCGATCTAAGTACCTTTTTTGTTTATTATACCTTACCTACCTAGGTATAAAAAGAGTACTTACGTAGATTTTCTTTTATTAACTGTTTTATACGAAGATCTTGATCTCTCAAATTAGCATCCATTTTACTTCCAGTGATTATCAACTAAATTAATAATCCACAAAGTATTAAATAACGTTTTTATGAAATATTTAGCACAAAAACAATACCCTTTAAATATCGATCGTCAGTAACTGTGGCTGACTTACCTATATTCTAGCAAGCAGGACTGCCAGATGTGAAGGGGAAATCCCCAATAAATTGTTGCATGTGACTGATGATGTGAGCATGTTCGTTTCATAATAAAAATGTTGCCAGGTAACCAAAAAGTCGTATGTTTTTGTGCGAATTACGATCATAATCTTTACGATCGTACATTAAAAAATAGACAAATAATAGTATGAGTACGATTTAAATCGTATATCTGTCAACCCTGCTAGCAAGACAGCGACAAAATCACGTTGCATAACAATGTAGCCCAAGCTTATATCTTATGAAATATACGGAAGAGATACGGACTTAGAAAAAACAGAAATGTTGTTCTTTGTGGAAGTCATTGATGAAATTCTATGTATTTTAGCCCGCAAACTTTCTTCAAACAAAAACAGCGCCATCTAGTATCGAGTTCTGTAATTATCTCTTTGTTTATGGATTTGAAGTAAGACCGCCACGCATGCAATACATTATGACTGGGGATTCCCCTATTCGTCGACGCTGAATATGAGGCGACGACAATCACTGTCAAACGTGTTCACTATTACTCTGACTCTGGTAACGTGACTTCCTGGTAACGTGTTAGGTAGGAAAAGCAGTAAAAAAGTGCATATTAAGGGAGCAGATTTGAAATAATATTTATACTTAACAAGAAATAATTAAAGGTAAGTGGATTTGTGAATGATACAATTATATCATGATCACTTAACAATTTTAACTTAAAATTAGATGTATTATTACAAGCTTTTATTTAGCTTGCGTTATGTAAATAAAAGTATGTAGGTATGTTCGTATGTTGATGCAATTATCCTCAATCCTCAACCGACTGGGATAAAATTTTCCATACACGTTTATTTTGGATGATAGTGCATAGTTAGCTGAGAGTCGTCATTGGATAATAATGGTGGATAGCCTAAGATGTGTACTAGATATTTATTTTTAACATAATATGCGTAAGTACCTAATCGAATTAAAGAAGTTGCTGAGAAAAATACAGAACAATACGATAATAAACTAGCGTCTGCGTTTAATCCTCCGAGGAGATGTAATTTTACAAAGGTTTTTTGTATTTATTTTATTATTTTTTTAATAAATTTATTGTAAATAACAAGAAATAATCATTGTAAAAAAATAGGCACTCTATTGTTGAATTTTCGTCAGACCAACTAATCATCGTTCATTTTTTTAGGTTCAATGGGGAGACCTAAAGATTTACGCATATGGGAGCACTACCGTACTTTACCAAACAAGTCTGTTTCTTGCAAGCTTTGTAATAAGGTCTACAAATTCAGTAATGCTGCCAAAATGCTTCAACATCTTATCACTTGTCCAAAATCTCCAGAAACATTAAAAGACTCTATGAAACTTATAAAAGATAGCTCGTCCAAAACCAAAATGTCTGGACTGTCAGAGATAGAGACAAATGATTCTTTTATAAGCCCCTCGTCGTCTGCTAACACTACAATAAATGCTGAGTTTCAAGACACCGATGATCATATAAAAACAGAATTAGCGAGAGCTATATTTGTAACAGGGACGCCATTATCGATGGTGCAACATCCTTTATGGATACAATTTTTCGAAAAATTGCAACCAAAATTTAAAATACCTTCACGTAAAGCTTTAGCGACAAAATACTTAGATAAAATATATAGAGAAATGCGTTTTGAGTTAAATGAGGAACTAAATGCTTGTAGTTACTTACACCTTCAGTGCGATGGCTGGTCTAATTTAAGAAATGAAGGAATAATAAACTTTCTTATATCAAAACCTCAACCTGCATACGTTAAAAGTTTGAATACAGAAAGTAATCCTCACACTAGTGAATACCTTAGCCAAGAAGTTGAAAAAGTAATGAAAGTGTATGGAGCAAATAAGTTTCTTGTACTTATTGGCGATAACGCTAGAAATATACAAAAGGCATTCGAATTAACAAAACTCAAATATCCACATGTTGTTCCTCTCGGTTGCTGTGCACATATCCTTAACTTGTTGTGCCAAGATATTGTAAAGATACAAGAAGTAACTGTGTTTATTATGCAAGCCATAAATATAATAAAAACTGTTAAAAGGAGTCAACGATTAAGTTCCTTGTTGATAAAATCAAGGCAGGGTGAAGATTCTACACAAACACTAAAATTGCCTTGTGCTACAAGATGGGGAAGTCATGTTACTTCGTTAAAAAGTTTGAAAGCAAATAAGATAGCTTTGCAAATATTAACAGTTAGAGAAGATGTGGTAATTTCAAGAGATATTAAAGATTTAATTCTAAGTGATGATTTCTGGACGAAGACAGGGGAATGTATAAGTATTTTGGAACCAGTCACTGAAAGCATATTTTACTTAGAGAGCGACCAGAATCGTTTGCATCGCACATACATTACATTTAGAGATGTACAAGCTAAGATACGTTTTGCATTAAATGAGATTTCGACATTGAGCGAAGAAAGCAAACAGCAGATTCTAACATCAGTATCTTCAAGATGCAATATGGCAATGAGGCCAATACATTTTGCAGCATATATTCTAGACCCCAGGACTCTAGGAGTCGAACTTACTCAAGAGGAAGAACTTAAGGGTATGGAGTTTATCTACAATTTAAGCCAACACTTAAGTTTGTCAAATGTAATGGCAGATTTGGCGTGTTATAAAGCTAAAGAAAACTTTTGGGCCAGAGGATTTGTATGGAGCTCATTAGATAGCATTGAGCCCCTAATATGGTGGAAAGGTATTTGTGGTTCCACTGAGTTAAGCAAAGTAGCGATTCGTACTTATCTAACTATTATTCTATCAGCTCCCTGTACTTCGGCAGCCACTGAGCGTTCCTTTAGTATCCAAGGCTACATACATAATAACAAAAGAAATCGACTTACAACTGAAAGAACTGAAAAAATTTCATTCATTTGTTATAACTGGAATCTTAAACATAAAGCTGAATGCGAGGACATTCAGTTTAATGAAGAAAATACCTTAGAAGCTTTCATTGAGCAAGTAAATGAACATAACAGTTTAGACGAAATAGAGCCTATCGAACCTATACAATTCATCGCTTGTAATAACTCTGAATCTGACAGTGATTGACTGTAGTTTTACATTTTACTTTCATCTCTTTCTTAATAAACTCAAAATCAAATTAAAAGTTTTTTATTCTGTAGGCTGCATAATAATATTGTCTATGTCCAGTATAGTGGACGTCTTGCGGCTGAGATGACGATGATGAAGTACAAAATCATAAACACCCAAAAATTTGGGTGTTTATGGGGTTTAAACCCAATAAACCCAAAACACCCGGTTTTTACCCACCAGACTTTAAACCCACCCAGGTGGATTGCCCATCTCTAAAAGAAAATATTAAAACGGAACCCCATAAACATAAACGCTTTCCAAAGATTGAATACATCGATTAAGTGTACAGAGTAATTGACGTAAGATATTGCACTTGATATTATTTAATATTAAGTATTTTTTTAAGTCTTTGATATAAATTAAGGTTGCGATTATCAAAATATTAGCAAAATTATGTCTTATTACTGATTACTGCCTGTAAATATTGTTGTCAGATTTGAACTTATGTAAGTTATTTACGTCTTTTTTTTTCTCTTAATATTTATTAATGAGCTTAAGTTGGCAATCATGAGTAAGTACATTCAATAATTTTAATAGACGTCAAAAGGTTTGGGATTCGATTACTGTTTTTGTAAACTTAATCAAGTTCAAGCCAAATTTAAGAATTGTGGTTTTAGGAAAGAAAACATTTTTTATACAACTTAGAATGACAAACAAGTTGACGGCCCACCTGATGGAAAGTGATAACCATCGCCTCATAACAGAGTATACTGTTTCACCCATGATTCCCCCTCATGCGTTGTCATTCCTGTGGGCTCAGGTGTATTCCTCTGTACCCTGTAAATTTACGCTATATCCCACCACACAGCCATACAAACACAACTGCTTTACGGTTGAAACACGAATGGGACAGAGGTACGAATTTTGTACAAGGTCTCCCTCTGGTAATACTAAGGTAATACATACCTAATACCAAGGGTATTATGGAGTAAAAGGTATGTAGACACCTATTATTATGTAGTGCCGTTGGTACATATTGTTATTTTTTCGAAAAATACAATTAATTTTTTTTCATTCCTTATTAATGAACACCAGTTAAGGAATGGGTTACGTTAATTAACACACTTTACTTTGACTGTTTAATTTTTTTTTTTTTTTTTTTTTTTTTTAAAAAAAAAACAAAATGAAAAATAACTTAAAATAAGAAATTCAATAGATACTCGTAGTATGAAGTATAAAAGTAGGTACATAACACACGACAACAACAAACGACTATGAACTCCTATGAATGTATTCATTAGGTATCTACTAAGGCCAAGATGACTTGCTGACTAACGTTCTCAGTTGATTCTGACGATTATTGTTCGTAACTCATTAGTACCTCAATTCAGTAATTGTCGGAAGCCACACACTATGTCATGGCGGTGAAGCCATAGAAGTGGAAATATAATAAATAAACGTCGCAATTTCCATTATGTACTTATTTTGGTCTTCTAATTTTTGGCTCTAAATAGATGAAAAGAGTTTACTTGAACTGCAGATAATTGAATTTCGATATAATTTAAAGGGTTGACAAATATAAACAAAATTAATTAGAGATAGTATTTTAGAAAAGATGTAGTGGAGAAGATTGATTGCTATTAAGTAGCTTTTGTAACATTACGGAAAATACTTTAGTGGACATATCACTTTGTTTTTTATATACAGATGTACAAAATTAGGTGTAACCCACGGCCTCACCGACGTAAATTAGTATATAAAGTATTCTATATGCTACGTTAGGATTTAACTCACTTCATGTACTAAATTCGTTAAAATTCTTTTAGTAATTTTTGCGTGAAAGAATAACAAACGTCTTTCCATCCATCTATCGTTTTAAATTTTTGCATTTATTATAAAGAAAGATTTTTATTGAGGTAAACTTTGATTTAAGCATTTTTAAATAATCACTTTTTCCATTATTTTTCGTTCGGAATGCAATTTCATCCAAGAACGAACGAAGAAGAAACTCAAATATTGCTCTTTTTTTTTCAAAAAGTTTAATTATATATACATATAAATAATGAATTTGTGTAAATATAAATTACTAAGCAATATCAAATCATAAAATTCAAAATATATAGTATATAATTAAAACAAATCAATAAAATAAATCAGTTGCAGTGGTCAGAGTCCAGTTCCTAACCAGTTTCTAAGGCAGCACCCGTTTACGAGTATGACGGACGAGCCAGCCATCATTGTGTCTAATCATATTTTAGGAAACACAATAACTACTTAAATACGTAAATAAAATAAAATATACTAAATAGGTACTTGTCTAATCTATCTTTATCTATTTCCGTAGACGAAGATGAGTTGTCTCTTTCCTTGCAGTCGTTTACCGAGTGTTGCTAATTTTGTTAAATAAATTTATGAGAACATACGTAGAATATTTTTAATTTGTATGCAGAAAATATATTAACATCTTAAAAGGGAGTGTTTTGTTTCCTAATTCCTAGTGTTTTCTTATGTTGTAAAAATCATGTGCAACCGATTTTTCTCGTAACAAAATATTCGTATACTTTTCATTCAAACGTTATTCAGTAATTAACCACTTGTTTTAATTTTATAATTTTCCTTTATAATTTTATTATCCTTTATAACCTTTTCACCAGATTTAAGCACGTCTGGCTAGATACACATAGATAGACACTACATATGTGTGTTAATAACACTATTTCCATACACCAAAATTTCAAATTAGAATAAACAAATATTTCGTAAATATTTATGAAAAACATATAAGGTATGTTTCCTATAAGTTAACTAACAGTTTTTAAACTTTATTTTATAGCAAGTTACCATGGGCGTCGCCAAGATTACTTTAAGGAAGGTGTATCTGTATCTACACAATAAACTTTTAACTAATTTAAGTTTATATGACAGTGCGCTTACATGACATGGAAAACCAAAGGATTTTATAACTTTTAGTGGTTACTTTATAGAGAGGCACTAAGCGCGTGGAGTGCGAGTGGATACTGTTTTATTCGTTTAGTATTGTCGGAACAAATACAAGGGGAACATGTCAACATTCTTCCTTCAAACAACACTAGCGAGTAGAACGTGGAGAGGAACGGACGCGGACAACGCCTTTTTAAATATAAATTGTTAAAAAATTATGTTCAGCCTTGTGCAATTAAAATTGTGTTTCACAAAATAAAATCGACTTTAATTATAATTTTGATGACTACACTACTGAATTGATTTTGATAAAAATTTTATGGAAGAAATCCGTTTAGATAAAAGAAAGAATTTTCCAAATTGATTTACAATTAACGAAGTTATGCGGTACTAAACGTTAAAAAAGTGCAACCGAATTGAGAACCTTTTGAAGTCGGTTGGAAATATAAAATATAGATAAATTATAAATGTATGCACAAATTGAAACAGTAACCCAGTAACGACAGGGGCGTGCAAGTGAATCCCCTTGAACCATGCTGCCGGCGCCCATGGAAGTTACTACGTTTCGTAGTATTTAGTTTACCTACCTACTACTAACGATTATATAAATCGATTTGTGTTAGACGCCTTATAAATTGGCTCAGATAAGTAATTAGGTATCTACTATATAGGAATTAATGTCTCTGATATCTATTCTTGGATTCCTATTGTTGCAGTACTTATCTAACTATTAGAAAGACAACTATTCGATAAAGGCCTTATTAAGTGCGACTCGGATGGCGTGATATTTGTTCTACAGTCGCAAACTAGCGAAACACCTTCGACTCATGACGCAATCCCAGCCTTTTGCGCGCCATTGCATACATACATTACCTCCTATAGATACTGCGATAAAACATTGACTAGCGGACTCCATATTTGTTTGGGTCCACTGAGGTGGAATTAGACTAAAACAAATAACTCAAAAAAATTATAATAATAATAAAAAGAAAAGCTAAAACAAAGAAGTTGCAAATGAGTGGCACTTCTTTGTTTTAACTTTACATCTATATCTATAGATACGTTTCTGTTAGCATACGCATGAGAAAGAACAAAAAATAGTATGTTGCTGTCTCATTTTATATTATCCATGCGGTAGCAATAACATACCTATTTATCAATAGATTCGATAGCCATTTGTTTTAGGGGGACTAAATTTAAGGTGGCATTAGAGTAAAACTATCTATTTTCACACTACATTTCGTACGGTAGGCAATGAGAACAAAGTGGAAAAGGTCTAAGGATTCTTACAGAAATGTTCATTTCATACACTTTATGCATACGGATTCCGGAAACTTGACTCCTCTATCAGATAGTATTTAAAGGGTCCATTTGATTATTACAGGTTAGTCCTCGCTCGGCTATGAGCATTGAATTATTGCGAAGCATTATTATTGCAGAAGAAGCAGAGCATTATTGCGAAGAAGAGCCTCGTCAACAATCCACTATAATAATGAAAACCACGATACTCTCTTGAAAGAGTTTTCAAGAGAGTATAACTGAAGAGAGAGAAATAGGTTAGCCCACCCTTCCCCGGTACCTACAGCCTGCCATTTACGCATTGTGTATGTATACTTCCTCATCATTAATCGAGGAACGAAACAATGTTCTCAGAATCTGAACGCTAGTACGATTAAATGAAATAAAAATTGGAACACAACCGTAGCCTAATAACGCCAGGTACTGTAGGCGTTCATAGGCTACGGTAACCGTTTACAATTAGGTAGACCGTATGCATGTTTGTCATTTCAGTGGTATAAAATAAACATAAGAAAAACGAGTATTCGCTTCGCTCGCTTGATCTAACTCCAACTTTATGTTCAATTGGACATTGCTTGTTGGTACGGCTCGCTTTACGCGCGTTTTGTCTTATGGAAATGAATGGATAAAGGTTCTTGTTGTCATTTTAGTATGCGATTAAGCAGAAGTCGCAATTTGTTTTTCATTTTTGTGTATATTTCGCGAAATCTAAATCGATTTCGTCGATTCTTTTCATGGCAACCGAATGACTTTACTTCGTGTTGATGCTATTTTAAAAAGGGAAAGAGGATAGTCTTCGAATAAATATATTATATTTTTTATTATACTATATATTTAAATAAATATTTATATATTTTTTCATATTTCATTCGCTTCGTAGAGATTTGGAGTAGTTGAATGCTCCGAAACTAACGAAAATTAATTAATGTTCTTTGAATATTTCCACACATGTTTTTTAATATTTATTTTACTTACGGGATTTTTGTATTAAGTATAAGACATATTAGTTTTCGTAAGGTAATGAAATGGGGGGGGGGGGGGGGTATTAATAGTAAAGAGGGTTCATACATAGCAATATACCCTCCCTATCAGATCAAGACCCATGTAGTTTTGTCTGGAAACTATCATGATTAATTCTTGTTGAATTTATCACAATGGGCTAACCAACCTGTTTTCATGTACCTAACTTCTCACATTGGTGCTCTGCTTGCATAAACCCATAGCACAGGCGAGATACTATTCTATTTTCACCCATTAAAAAAATCTTAAATGGAAATTAAACAAAATTATGCAAAATTTTAAATGGAAATATTACAAAGATATATACATATCAAACAAAGCATAGTTGTCTTTTTAAGGAACATTAGTATAGTACTTAAGTATCAAGTTAGTTCAGATAGAGAAGATTAAATACTTATCAGTAAATTTCAAGATAATGAAGATATTTGATTACTAGACCACAATTATTATCACAAACATGATAAAAGTTTTCGACTGATATTAACAAATAAATTATTAATTATTTAAAAAATCTATATTATTTGAAATATACATAAATAAATATGGTCAGTTATTTATTAGAAGGCACACCCAAAATACTAGTATCCAAGGTTCAAGACTATATATTTTTATAGCCCAACATTGTTCTCTATTCACAACAAAGAAATATATTTTAGCAAAACTACAAAATAACATGAATATTATAAAATTTAGAAACACAAAAAAGATATGTAGTAATTGATTTATTTATATTAAGTATATAAGATATGAAAATGAGTCTTTAATATAAATAAAATATTTGTTTTCTTTTTACAGTATATTTACAGCACAACATCTGTCTCACTTCAACGAAATACAACAAAAAAAAAATATTTATTTTAGAGCACTTAGTTTAGGTGATTTGTTTGGTTTTAATTGTTATGTGAATTAAATTTGAGTAAGTACTTATTAATTCAATTCCCAATTTATATTGTTTGAAAATGTTTCATTATCAAACAATAAAGTTTGGAACAAATAAATGGAACATAATTAAAATACAAACAGAAAATTATATAATAAGTATGTTATATATTAAGTTTAGGTACTAAGGTATTAAAAATACAATTCTTAAAAATATTACAAATAAATTATTGATTCCCCATGGTTATCCACTGACAGCGTAATATAAAAATAATATCTAATAACAAGGATTTAGAAATAGTAAAATATATTTCTAATTTTTTTGTTTTCTTTAGGTTTGCTATTACTACATGCGCTAGAAAGGTTCTAATAACATATCCTTGATAGGACCTTCACACTTCGCCTATTTACTTAATCTCACTATTTATGAGATTACTCCTTAAAAGAGACGTATTATAATCGTGATACATTTACTAATTATAAAAATATGAATAAAAAACACTTACCTTCATAAATCTCCATGTCGATTCCAGCCAAAAAATTAAAAGTTTTTCTAAATTAAATCGTTTCTATGACGACGCATGACAGTAAACTCTAATGAGATTCCTATTGGCTGGCAGCAGCATGGATGTAAAAAAAATTTTAGGATAAGGATTTCAATTGGAAGCAGTGAGCAATCAGATTAAATTTATTTAATCGATTTTAATCGAATTGATAACAATATTTAAAATTTTAAACAACCTCAAAATCAAAGATTGATATATCACCGTCTAATATTATTATTCTTTTTTTATTTTAATTCCATATACGTCAGAAAATAAATGTAGTCTAGGTTCTTCTTATCATTCTTACCTGTCTCCTTATATATATATATATATATATATATATATATATATATATATATATATATATATATATATATATACGAGGTCTGTCCGGAAAGTTCGTATAAAAGTGTTCTGGAATGCGAGAAAGAGGAGTGGGGAGGCCAGGTAAGCGCAGGACCCCTTCCTTATGTCCCTAACAATGCTTCAGTTCTGGTCTGACCGCCGTGCGGTGCGAACTGGCTTGTCACGCCATCTGTGAAGTTACCTCTTAACGAAACCCCGTCGGCATGGAGCCCGCTTCCGTTGAAGAGCAGCGCGTCGTAATCAAGTTTCTCTCGAAACTCGGCAAGAATGGCCGTGAAATTTTTGCCGATCTAATTCGATAAGACATCCGGGGAACCACGAACAAAAAAATCAAGAAAATCCCGCTCAAATGTCAAGACAATGTTGATTGTTTTTTTCGATGTTCGGGGGATTGTCCATCAAGAATTCGTCCCTCCAGGTCAGACAGTTGATGGAAAATTCTACGTCGATGTGCTCAGACGCCTCAAAGCTCGTGTGGCACGAGTTCGTCCAGAATTGGCGCGAGAGGGGCGTTGGATTCTTCACCACGACAATGCCCCTGCCCACACCTCTCTTGTTGTCCGTGAGTTTTTGAGTAAAAATTCCATTACGGTGACCGAACACCCTGTATCTTGGATGAGTCAAAGACAAGTGGCCTATGCAACCTTTAGCATTACAAAAGATAACTCAACAGAGGAATGATGAAAAATTACCTCATGTAGAATTCGCCGGATTTGGCCCCGTGTGACTTCTTCTTGTTCCCAAAAACCAAATTGGTACTTCGGGGGCGGCATTTGGGGGACATAAATGAGATAAAAAAAGCTACGACGGGGCAGCTGAGAAACCTACAACCAGAGGACTTTCAAGGAGCCTTCTCACAGTGGAAACGGCGTTGGCACAAGTGCATTATGTCACAGGGGGAGTACTTTGAAGGGGATAAAATTGATTTACCTGAATAATTGTAAAATAAAATTTTTAAAAAACTTTTATACGTACTTTCCGGACAAACCTCGTATATATATATATATATATCGGCGGTCATCTGGAGGAAAAAGCTAAGATAGCTTCCAAAAAGTTAGGTGTGCTCAATAGGGTGAAACGGTATTTCACGCCGAAACACCGTCTGAAACTGTATAAAGCTCAAATGAGGCCACATATGGAATACTGTTCTCACCTGTGAACAGGAGCGATTCCTTCCGTTAAATCGCATTTAAAATCGGGCAGCTCGAATTGATGACGATTGGCGCCTTACTGCCCGACTCGATTCACTGAAACTGCATAGAGATGTTTCATCTCTGTGCATTTTCTACCGAATTGATCATGGGGAGTGCTCTGAGGAAATGTTCGAATTGATACTTGTTGCTGATTTTTAGCATCGTACAATCCGCCATAAACTAAAATTTCATCCCAACCATCTGGACGAGTGGCGGTCCTTCATCGTGCGTTTTTCAAGGCACTTTCTTCCATGCATAATCACTATTTCAAATCAACTTCCAACAGCAGTATTTCCGAATCGATACGACAACATAACCTTCAAGAAAAGAGCATATTCCCTTTTAAAAGGCCGGCAGCACATATGCAATGCCGTTGATGTTGTGGGTGATCATGGGCGGCGGTAGTCACTTACCATCAGATGAGCCGCAAGCTCGTTTTCCCCCTGTGTTGTAAAAACAAAATTTATCACGGTGGGCTAACTGACCTGCTTCATTTTCATCTATCATCAGTCACTGGTGTCCCGCCAGTGTATACCGATAACGCAGGCGGCGTTATTATTCAATTATCATCCTTTAAAAAAATATATAAATCTATTCCAAATTTCATGTCGGAAGAATGATGCTAAAATTTAGTACTGTAATGGGTGGACAGACGGATGGATGGACAAAGCTGCACCATAAATAATTTTTTCCACCTCTTTGGTACAAAACTCTGAAAATAATAGTTTTATGCAATTAAATCGTTATCGAATATAATATTCGAATATAGCTTTTAGATAATAATCGATTAATAAATATTATAACCATAATTTTTAATATATCTAAATTGAGAAAAAAGGGAAAAGAAGTTTTTGATTATTATCATTATACCGGAAAACAAATTGTGTTATTGTTATTTTAAATTGCTTATATAAATTATTTATATGATGACGTGTATTTGTATATTCATGTTGTCACGTCATTCCTTACAAATATTTTGTTGTGATGGGTTAAAAGTCATGCAGTTGGTTTATTGTTCTCAAATTTGTAAATAAAAAACGGTACATTACATATAAAAGCTTACAAACTGTTATATCCGCATCAGACTTATCTTGAAAATTCAAAGTGTACGACAAATTTTAACAAACAGTGACATTGTTCGTTTGTTTCTATATAAAAATTTTGAATTGTTATAGCTAATTCAAAGCCTTTTTATAAAAACTTTAAACTACTTGTTTCATTTTGGTTTTTCCGTACGTTTCATAGCAATATTATTTTCGTGTAAATTTGTATCAATTTTTAAAAATAATCGACTTGTTTTGCACTTCACTATCCATAAAGAAAAAAAAAATATAGCATTTGTTCTATCTGACTGAAAACGTCGGTTTTTGAGATTGAATTGTTTCTCACTTTTTTCCCTACATATTCTAAGTGTAGTTAGTTAATTTATTAATTTTTGGATTTCAGGTTACACGCAAACATGGGTTTGACTATATCTAGTGTATTTACTAGACTCTTCGGCAAAAAACAAATGCGTATCCTTATGGGTGAGTGACTGAGTGACAGCTCATCGTTTGTGGATTGCGTAGAATTAATTTGTATCTATTGTGTTGTTTTACGTTTAAATGTGTTTATTACATATCACTGATCGGTTTTTCTTTTATTACAGTTGGCCTTGATGCTGCGGGCAAGACTACTATACTTTATAAACTAAAATTAGGAGAGATCGTGACTACGATACCGACTATTGGTTTTAATGTTGAAACTGTAGAATATAAAAACATCAGTTTTACAGTGTGGGACGTCGGCGGTCAAGACAAAATCAGGCCACTATGGCGTCATTATTATCAAAATACCCAGGGGCTTATTTTCGTAGTAGATTCAAGTGATACCAAAAGAATAGCGGAGGCTGAAGAAGAACTCGCAAATATGGTATACTAAATATATCTAGCGTTTTATTTTTATACTACTCATCTTTATTCTAGTACTAGACTCTCTGCATCTAAAACATGGTCCCTTTGTTTACCAGATTGCATCATAATTGCATCAGTACTATCCTGTTGGTTGCTTTTAAAAACCCAGTGTAAATTTAAATGAAAAATATATTTGTAATTAGTCCAATTGATTTTTCAAGACAAGTCAAACTTTTGTAAAAATTGTTTTTTTTTTTTTTTTATTTTAGCTAAAGGAGGATGAATTGAAGGAAGCAGTTATATTGGTGTTTGCAAATAAACAAGATATGCCAAATGCTATGACGGCAGCGGAACTTACTAATGCACTTAACTTAAACAACCTCAGGAGTCGCCGTGTAAGAAATTTTTATATTCCGTATCCTGTTTAATTTTTATGTAAACTTTTGGCTTTATCTACAATAATTTTTTTTTAAAACAGGATGTGTTTCTATGTAACTTGAGTATATTAATATACTATTATCAATGTTGTTATATCTAAGAATTTGAAGTGTTAACAAGAATGGCTAGGAAATATATGATACATTGTAAACATACTATTTTATGAATTTAAAAAAAAAATATTTAGATATCTATTTGTATAATTGGTCAATTAATTCTTAAAATGTGTACTTAAATTGTTCTATAAATTTCAGTGGTACATTCAAGCTACATGTGCAACGCAAGGGCAAGGTCTGTATGAAGGTTTAGACTGGTTGTCAAATGAACTAGCAAAGAAGTGAGATCCAATATAACAGACAGTCTCAGGGAACTAGTATGCTGCACATTCCCACATTGACTGACAACTTTCAACAGAGTGAATGTTGTTCAATTCTATCCAAAAGACTATGAAAAAATGTAATGTAATTAATTAATAGGGTAGGTAATAGGGTCTTTTATCACCCATTATTTCCTCTTATTAAAATTATTAAAGTTTGCAATGGTACTCGTATGTACCTTAAAAATTGAATGCCATGCTGACAATTGGAATGAACATCAAAATTTAATAATCTTTTATATCATATATTAAATATTATATATAGAAGTTCATCATGCTACAGTTTATTAAATATTAATTGGTGGTAAAAGCTCCATAAGATATTCTTTCCAATATTCTATCAAAGTTCATCTTTAAAGTAATAAAAAGAATATTGACATAAAACTGTTAAGGAGGTCCATTTTTAGTATTTAATTTTTAGTTTATTTATGTAAGAAGTATATAGTTTGCAAATAATGGTTTTCTATTATTTAATATGTTAAAAAAACAAATATTGTTTTGTATCAGTTATGTGTATAGTGTGATTTATCATTGATGCATTTACATGTTTATTAAATTGTTTAATGTATGTCTAGAAAATTTCCAGCACAATATATTAGTATGTATCAGAGTACATATACCATACCAACTATTGGTTGCAATATGCATGCTTACAATTATATAAAGTGATAACTGGTAATAGTGACAATAAATTTCAATTTATTGCAAATCATGCCTTCAATGACCATTATTAATAAAGGCTAGATTTATATTCATTAATTTATTCTTTAAAATAATTTTAATATTGCATAACATATAGTTAACTATAGTGTTCTTGTCTTGTATTCACCTATTTTTCTGTATATTAATGCAGCAGCATTTTTAATAGCAGTGTATATCAATACAGCCATAAAATGGAATATACAACTGTTCCATTTTATGGCTGTAAGAAAAGATTACCTACATGATTAATTTGTCTTTGTAATGTAATGGAGTTTTGTGTGACTGGCCTAGGTAAATTTACCATCTTGCCTATTTATGACGTGAAACAGCAATACTGTTTCATATAAGTAACTGTCTGAAGGGTAAGATGGCCAGTGCAAATTCCCAACACAAAAAACACGACATGGTCCTCAGTAGTAGCAGCTGTGAGGGGCCATGACTGACACTTTATATTCCGTGGGGTCCATATTGTTATGTCATTGGCCATTAAGTGGACCATCATTTGGTACTTCCAGTAAAATACAAATGGGATCTTAATATTTATTTGTATTGTCACGATCTCTTTGTTACTAAAGTGCTAATGTGAACATAATGTTATAAAAAGTATATTATCATTTAACTATTTACTTTTAATGTAAGATTTGGATACAATGTATATAATGTAAAATGTCCTATTGGCCAAATGATACCTATTTTAATATTGTCTAATGTGATTTAATGTCTGCTTCATTACCATAAATTTCAGCCTTTAAAATGCGTTAAACGTTTTGAAATAGTGGCAAATAAAATATAGGTGTAATTAAAAAGCGTGTTTTATTTCGCTCGTCATATGTATAAAAATATTTAAATTTATCCATAGAAAAGTAAAAAAAAATATTTTATAACTGGCATCTATTTGTGACTCCAACTTGCTTTTCGTTTCTCAGCAAAACTCCTAATTCCTTCTTGGCCATCACAACTGTTAATATTGTCTACCATTATTTTTTCTCCCAATTTATAAGCATCTAAAACATCTAATTCGATTTGCTTGTAAAAAAAATCTTTTCCTAGAGCTATAACACTACGACTTTTCACCTTGATTTTTTCTATGATCTTGTTTACCTCAATGTCCAATTGTTCTTCAGGTACTACTTTTGTTGCTAGTCCGCTTTCATATGCTTCTTGGGCGGTAATAGGTTCTCCTGAGCAATAACGATTACAAAATTGCATTTTTCATAATAATTAAAGTATAATCGGTAGAAATAATGTTTCATTACCTGTAAATAGCATATATGTAGCTCGGGATTTTGGGATAGATCTCGCAATAGCTATGCCTGGAGTTGAGCAAAATATACCAAAATTTGCACTGAAATATAAAGTTCACGTTATTAGCACTTACTACACATTATGCAATAAAAAAATCGTACCATTGCTACAATCACGTCGGTGCTCTTCTTTTTATCAAATTTAATATAACTTAATAATTAATATTGTCATTTAGTACCAGCTCAATTCTATTTTGTATTAGGTACAATGAAATATTTACCCAGGTGTTGAGAATTTGCTCGTGTTGGAACACACGATCATGTCACATGCGGCAACTAACTGGCAACCTGCTGCTGCAGCAAAACCATTAACCTATGCATTCAATATAAAAAAGTTCTATTAAAGTACCATTATGTTCTTGTAAAAATAAAAAAAAAAATGGATTCAATATAAAAAAGTGTCCAAAATTCTATGATAATAGTAAAAAAGCAATTTGCATTCATGTTTTTATGAAGAGCTGAAAGTTCCGCTCGGATTCTATAGTGGGCACGGCTCAACTTATTAAAAATGCCTATGAAAACAACTTTTCATCTAATACCTTTATAATGGTTTACATGCGATGAACCTACCATCAATAAAAAAATTACTGATTGAGTTTAATAAGTATCAACTTATATCAAAGCTTTTAATGACATTTCAGATTTTTCAAAAAATTTTTAAGCCTTTTTTAGATATTAAATTCTCAGTTTCAATGAAAATGATAAAATAGAATTTTTTATGAATAATGATTTTTTTTAATAGACGATAAGTGAATGGTTACTACGCCTGCGCTAACGTTATATGCTGGCGTGGCACCAGTGACAGAAGATAAATGAAAATGATAGGGTAGGTCAGTTAGCTCATCGTGATGAATACATCTGGCTCTCATCACGATTGTTTCCAGGAGGACCAGGTGGAGGTCGACCTGATAGGGAATATTGTTAGCAATGGGGCTGTTAGTCTGCATTATTAACAATTCCTTCCCCTCTGAATAAGGGGGTTAGTCTATAGTAGACAACAGATATAGATTTCGATTTGATAGAATATCTCTTCTTTATTACCTTAGCTATGACAGGCACAGGACTTTGTATAATGGACTTCATTAGTTCTGTAGCTTTTCTAAATATTAACTGGTGTTGTTCTATTCCTGTAGATGATTGCTAAAATAGAAACAAAATTGATTTCAATTCTATTTATTAGTAATAATATTACATTGTGCTTAATATTTTTTTATAAGTAACAAGAAGATATCATTAAAGAACTTTACAATAAAACAGAGAAATTATGAAGCAACACTAGGGTTGGTTGATTATTATAATAAGATATACAACTTTTATTGTTAGCTTAAATTTAACTCCTTACATATAATTTACATCGACAGGGAATTCATCCTCACACGCTAGAACTTACATAGTCACGTGTAGTGCGGTTCCAGAGAATTTTTTTCCCACGAATGCTGAGGCTATGAAATGAGCTCCCTGTAGAGGTTTTCCCTAGAGACTACAGTATGGGGTTCTTCAAAAAAGATATACTTAAGGTTTCTTCAAGGTCAGTAACGCACACATGACACCCCTAGTGTTGCAGGCGTCCATAGGTAACAGTGATCGTTTACCATTAGACGGGCCGTATGCTTGTTTGCCACCTTTGTAGTATAAAGAAAACCTGCTCTTAACAATACCTCTATAAAATTAAATGTATGAATCATTATGTGTCCGTATCATTAGATTAGTTAGAATAATACCCCCTCTATCATAGTAGTTACTTATGAAGGGGTTGTTAGGTAATGGGGACTGATAAATCCATTATTAGCAATATACTCTGACAGATCGCCGTCCACGTCGTGGTACTTTCTAGAAATTCGTCGTAATTAAGTAACTTGACTGGTCGTGTGGTCTCGGCTTAGAATAGGTCACCCCTTACTTTCCCGTGGGTGTCGTAGGTGACTGAGGGAATTTAGTAGTTGAGGGATGAGCAGCATCATTCCTTTTAAAATATCGCCAAAACCTGACTGGAGTTGCGAACTCGCCTGTCAAGTGTGGCAGTTACTGGCAAATTCCCTCGATGTGAAGGCCTATGTTCAGCAATGAACAGTTAACGGGTGATATTAATATCATGATCAAGTGAGTTGACTCTGTCTTCAGTGGTGACCTCGCCTATATAATCCAATAGTGCAAACGGATTTTTCAATGGGTGAAAATGGAAGGTAATGAAATAAGGTGGCGTGGATACCATTCCAATTGTTAACCAAGACAGTTTCCTAAGAGAACCGCGTGGAGATCGACCTGATAAGATATATTTCAAGCAATGAAGTCATTAAATCCCATTATTAACAATCCCTTTTCCCGCTGCAAGCGAGGCTCCAAACATTTTTAACTAAATGTATTCTAGGAAGGACCGTGCGGAGATCGATCTTACAGAGTATTCATTCTTTGCAATGGGGCACTTATTACTAATTATTTTCTCCGTGTTGGGAGCGCAGTTGTGGTATCAGCTTGTATTCATGGTTGGTGAGTGTAAGCGGTCGAAAGGTTAAGATAACCCTAGGGTTATCTAGGATAAAAAATCATTTTAGCGACATGATCGAATCCGTCTATAGTAACTACTCAATGATTGACATCAATTGATTGGATAGATTACTTACTAGTTCCTTTAGATTATGACCTGCAGAGAAAACATTGCCTTTTGCAGACAGGACTATAGCTCTCAGTGACGTATCATCTTTATTAGAATTTATAGCTTCTATAAGATGGCTCATCATGTCCATTGACAAAGAATTCCTAACAAATAAAAAAAAAATAACCTATTAATTTTAATAACAACCTTAGTTTTCATAATTAAATATTATATTTGTACCAACTTTGTTTTTTCGTGAATTAAGGTAATTTCTCGAGTTCCATTATTTTCAGTGGTAGATATGTATTCATTATGAATATAGCGATATAGTCCAAACAAGGACTTTGTTGAACTTTTCTGAAAAGTAATATAAAAAGTAACTATATTACTACTATTGTATATAATTATATGTATAAAAATCTAAATTAAATACAAATTTTAATTTCATTATATACTAGAGAAATAGTTGTACATAATTGCATTTAATTAATAATAGCGTTAGCAAATTTTATAATAGATAAGTAAGGTTACTTAAGTGTAAATTACAGATAACAAATAATTTAATACTTACTTTATCAAGTATTTATTATCAGTATATTGATTAACGTTACCTTAAATGAGGCAAGCATCGTTGACAATTATTACCTCTTAGTTATTGATTTATAGTAAAAATCGATATTAATTTGCCAATCACTAATGTACTAATGACAAAACAGCTGTGTTTAACACATTCCTTCCGCTGTCATTTTAGGGTTGCTATATTATTGATTTAAATTGTTACATTTTTTGTAGTGAAAAATAAAAATGCACAGATATAATAAACGTTTTAATAGTGAATTAATATTTTTTTAATCGACGTCTATCAAATTCGCAGTCTGATGTATCAGATGCAGTGTCATCGTCTTCATCTTTATAATAATCAGTGCCTTCATCTTCTGCCGTGATCAGTTCCACTACGGCGCTAGAAAGAAAAATCGTGCACGTAAGTTAAACCGGTAGTTATTACATGAAAATACCTACAAGTGTTTCTGACTCTTTTAAGTAAAATAGAGTGCAAAGTTTTAACAATTTATTATTTTTTTAGAGATACTTATAATGGCAAACAAACTGAAGGCCTGATTAAAAGGTTAACATGACCGTTTATCTGTAGTTCCATACATACATATTGTTGTTCAATCCCGCGTTATTTGGGGGAATACCCGTGTTATACGAAGGATTGAAATCGTGTAATATGAAAACACGCTATAAGAGTACCGTGTTGTAGGGTGGGTTTTTGTATAACAAAAGAACTCACTTCAATACTTTCTCTTCAAATTCATTGTGTTGTTCAGCGTGGTTACTATTAACCATGATTTTTGATGCTAGAACTTGATCTAGCAATTTTCTAAGTTCGAACAGCACATCTGTAGTGTCTTGATTACATTGTACTTTGTAAGTTGAGATTGTCATTTGGCATCGATCTTCTTCCTCTGAGTTTAAGTCTGTTTCATCTTCTATTTTTTCTTCTGTGGGTAAGTTTGTCACATTTTAAATTATGGGTAAAAATTTCAGTATAAAAAATGCGGGTTAAGTTATCAATCGAAGGCTACCTGAAACTAGTATTAAAAAAGGATGGAGTATTAGATGGAATAACAAAATTAGTAATAAAAATGTCCTAGAGATGAGATACATAACTTTAAAAATTATGGAAAGCAGATGAGAGGACATATTTTTACACAATGGACAACAGTGTAAAAATAAAAGCTGTTGTTACTTGGTTCTATACTTAGGATTTAGCGTAAGATCTAAAAACTTGTTATCAGACTTTATAATTCCTTACAATTATGTTATGACTTTGCAGTATAATGCATGCAGTATGGTGACTAAGAGAACTTAACGGTCGAAAAATGGGCAGCAGCGTTCAAATGTCTCCCGTAAAACATCGTCGAAGCCTTACTGCTGTTGCCAACCCGCCTGCCATGCGTGGCAACTTTGGTAAAACTCTCCCTTATAGGGAACGCTAAGTTCAGCAGTGGACAGTTAATATAAAATGGCTGGTACATGTCATGACTTACCTTTTATTACCTTCAATTCGCCGAAAAACAACAATGGAAGTGTATAAACTAATGTGACATCGAGAAGAAAGAGTCGCGAGGACAACTGTTTCAGTCTATACACGAGCCAGTTGGCACCAGGGTTAGTACACAGAGACCGAATGGGACCACTGTTGTGTGGCGGCGCGCACATCACACTACTGGGATGTAATTCTATAGGACCATCTTCTGGTGTTCGCACTTTAATTCTCATTTGTTTTTTAAAAGCATTCCTCCCACGCGTGCCTGTCCATCTAAAAACAATATTTTTGTTATTAAAGCAGTTTGTTTAAAACTAATGACCCGCCCCGACTTCGTACGGGTAAACAGAAAGATCAATTAGTATTTTATATTAGCTTTAATAATTTTCGTAGAGATGTCTATTTTTTTTTAAATAATAATTACGCGAAAACTACTGAACGGATTTGAACGAAATTTATAAGAAGATTTATATACTGATTCATGAAGGTGAAGTCGCGGGATACAGCTAGTAGCATAATCAACCTTTAAAACTACAGCTATAGTCAGATTAACTACATTATTACCTGACTGTACCTATGTTAGGATACAATGCAGCAGCCACTATTGCCTTGAATAAACTTATGTTGTCCGCATTCCGGTTCTCCCAGGATGCTTTAACGTCACCCGAGGGAAGGAATCCCATATTTTTTAGATTGTCGCCTAATTGTTTCTTCATGTCGGATAGGAGTTCTAGAGTGTTGACAGATAGGAAGTAGCGGTACGCGAACTCACGCCCTTCTCTTTCACGAAGGCGCTCCCATCGTAATACGGCCTCCGACATCGCTACGTGGTCGCTGGGCTCACCTAATGTCAGCTCGCGTTTCGCGATTTCCACCTCTCGTTCTTTACCTGAGATATGGTGTAATATTGAGTTTATATACGTAAAAATAATGATGATACTGATGCATTAAGAATTACCCACGATGGTTTCCAGGGACGATGATGCGGAAGTAGACCTTACTAGTTACGGCATTTCTAATTCCCATTACTGGAGGGGATTGTTAGTAATATGCACTACCAGTTCCTTTACTAGCTATATACCCTGTTAGGTTGACCTCCACGTGGTCCCCTACGGAAACCTTCGTACGGAATCCCAGATGTATTCATTACGATGGGCTAACTGACCTTTTTTTTTTATTCTCACCTATCATCCATCCCCCGTCAACGTATATCGTTAGCGCAGGCAGGGTTACCATTCCATTATAATCCATAAAAAAAATCCCTGTTATTATCAATCCCTTAACTGCGGAGAGAAACCCTTGGGAACCTATTATAGATATATTGATAGCGTGACTGTAACAGACACTTACCAATGACCAAAAGGAATGGGTCCTTGAAGCTCCAGACAGCAGCGAGACTAGCGGCGCGGTCGAGGCAGCCGAAGAGGGCGGCGAGTAGCAGCAGCTTTCCGGCCGCCGGGTGCAGCGGCAGCCGCGCCATGTGCCAGCCCAGCGGCGTCAGCCTCTCCGACTCGTCCAGTGCACCGCATCTACACCACACACCAGTTTATTTTTTTCTTTTAAAAGAAGCCTTTATGCCAGATCTTATTTATTAAAAGTTTTTAATTATGTATATTTACTACATTTTTCGAGTTATATTATCGATTTTTGCTGCGGGGTTTCGGTATAGAATAGGTCACTCCCATTACCGTGAGTGTCGTAAGAGGTAACTAAGGGAGGACGAGGGAACAGGCAGCAGCGTCCCTCTTGAAACATACCCAAACCCTAATTATGGTTGTCAATCCGCTTGTCAAGCGTGGCAACTACTGGCAAAACCCTCTCAATGGGGAGGCTTATGTTCAGCAGCAGACAGTTAAAGGCTGATATGGTGACGATGAATATCGATTTTACTACTACTACTTCATTTAAACTAATTAAATCATCTTTAATGTATTTTTAATATACTAATAAACTAACAATACTAAATATACAATTAAACTACGAATACTGTGAAGGAGGAGAGAAGTCATGATGGTTGGAAATTTAAATTGATTATTTTATCAGCAAACTAATATACTGCTATTATATTCTCATGTATTACTTGTATTACTAATCTATATATTAATATGCCAAGCAAAATCTTTGTACCTTCGTTTTTACGAAAATTGCGCGGACAGAGGAGTACGAAATTTCGCACACTCATACTTTATATAGAGGAGTGCAGAATGCTAATATATTTTTTTTTAAATTATGCATAAAAAAATTAATACAAAAAAGAAAAGTACACACACTACCAAGTATTTGAAACAAACACATATATACTCTTTTGTTTTTTGTTAGTCTGTGGTCAAATTGAGAATAGACTAGTACTGTTTGTCTTTAATACACTCCTCGCAAAAATTAAGGGAACATAAAAATTATTGAAATTTTTTTTTTTAATGGGTGTATTTCAGTGAAAAATAATCGTACAGGAAATTTAAAAAAGGGTTTTGAAGCTTGAAAACTCTAGTTTCGGTGAAAAAATTTTTTGAGCTCCGGTTTCCATGCAATTCTTAAACAAAGCGACGAGGCACCAGTGGAAGATGATAGGTCTCTTGTTTAGAATGAATGCATTTGTCTCAGATATGGTCCATCCTTTTCCATTCATGATGAATGGTCGACAAGAGTTTCTTTATCTGCATAAAAAACGATTTTTTTTTTGATAATGAATTTTTAAAAAACAAAAAATTGAGTAAAAAGTGAAAAACAAATGAAATTATTGATTTTTGAATGGATTAGCGTGAGAGGACAAAAACCTTGTTCCCTTATTTTTTCCAAAATTTCAATCAATTGGTCCGAAAAACCGTTGAGAGGGTGTTCTTTAAGGAACAATATTCAAACCTTAGCGATAGCGAAGATATTATACCCCATTACTAACAATCCCTTCCCCCCCCCCTGTCTAGTCTTACTGAATGTCAAACATAACCATAATAAATTCATGTATAAGGTGGAAAAAAATTTTTCTTCACTAACTCTTGACTGTGCTTAATTGGAAATTTTATGCATGTATCACAATATATGTTATGGTCGAATTTCAACCACTGTTTATTATGAATAACCAACTATCATTTATTATAAATGTGAAAGTGAGTTTGTTAGTTTATTTGTATCTTAATAAGTAGTATTTGCGATGGAGAAAATTAATAAAAAAGTATCTTACTGTTTTTTTTTTTGCAAATGTTTGACAGCCCATTGAATGGTGAGAATGACTCTGCCATGATGAATCAGGCACTAATTTCAGCGTGGAGCGTCGACCTGAGAGGGTGTATTGCTAGCGATAGGGCTTTTCCATTACTCTCCCCCCCCCCCCCTGTCTAGTCTTTTTAATAGACATAATAAATTCAGACACAATATATGTTAGGCGAATTCCAACTGTTTAATGAATAACCAACTACCATTTATTATAAATGTGAAAGTGAGTTTGTTAGTTTATTTGTATCTTAATAAGTAGTATTTGCGACGGAGAAAATTAATAAAAACGTTTACTGTTGCAAATGTTTCCGTGCTCGGAACGAATTTTACGAGATGGTCTTTTAATAGACAGATACCTGGCTGGCATCGACCAGCGCGACCTCGTCTGTAACAATAAATCTATTTTTAAACTTTTTAATTCATCTCGGTGCGGCAAAAAAGTTAATAGCTTACAACTGGAAATTAAGTACTGTAGGTAGGTAATATATATGAAGAAGACTATAAACATGACAGCAAGTATAAGGGCATCCCATCTTTTAAATAACAATAAAACCATGCAATCACAGCCACTTTGTGACAGTAGCATGAGCAGTCTTTCAATGGGATGAAAATGGAATGGTTACTCCGCTTGCGTTATCGTATATGACGGGGTAATAGTGAAGGATGATAGGTAAGAATGAAGTAAAGTCAGTCAGTCTTTTGTAACAAATTCATGAGTTTTTATCTACATTGGTTTGATCTGTGGTTTAGTCTACCTGATAGGGTATTTTGCAAGAAATGGGCTAAAGTCCCCTAACAATTCTACACTCCCAGTATAATAGCACCCAAGCAGCCGATTTTTATACAGTTTCCCTTCTAAAAATCGTTAAATGTAAATGACATCACTGATATAACACAATAGAAATAATACTAAAAAGGAATAAATACATACAAACATATCACGTCTCTCATTGGAGTGGGCAGAAATAATAAAGCGTCAAACGCAAACAGAACTCTAAAATTAATTTTCATTTCATATAGATACGTCATTAATATAATACAATACCTTTGACGCAAATTTGCCTGCGACACCCATTCTACTTGAAGTGTAGAAATGTTATCTTCCACATTCAGTCCTGTACATTTGATTCTACCACAGTCTATCACGTATACAATATCATCTACAGTTATAGATGTTTCAGCTATGTTTGTAGCTATTATTATCTTCCTTATGTGCTCTGGTGGCCTCTCAAATATCTTACGTTGTTCTATTGAAGACAATTTTGAATGTAGTGGATGAATATCGTAACGCGAACTAGGAAAGTGACCGCTACGGTTCATTTGTTTTATGAGTTTCGTTATATCGCCAATTCCAGGTAGAAATACTAGAATCGCACCGGGATCTCCTTTGCAGATAGACTGATTCCATAAAAACCGTATATTTGAAAATTATTCTACAACTCTGCCATCCCCTTCAAAGTAGTCCCCTTGGGCAGCTATACAGCGATTCCAGCGCGTTTTCCATGCTTCGTAACATTTCTGGAACGCTTCGACTGGGATGTCCGCGAGTACCCTCGTCACGGCCGCCTGGATGTCCGTAATCGACTCAAAATGGGTTCCTTTGACCACCGATTTTGTTTTAGGAAACAAAAAAAAGTCACAGGGTGACATGTCGGGCGAATAAGGCGGCTGTTGCAACACGGCGATCCCTTTAGAGGCCAAATACTGGGACACGCTGAGGGCGGTGTGGCACGGCGCGTTGTCGTGATGAAGGATCCAGTTACGAGCGATGTCTGGGCGCACCCTGTTGACTCGTTTTCGCAATCTTTCGAGTACTTGGCAATAGTAGACTTGATTCACAGTTTTCCCCGGTGGAACGAATTCTTTGTGGACGATTCCACGGCTATCAAAAAAGGCAATAATCATCGTTTTCACCTTCGACTTGCTCATGCGAGCTTTTTTCGGGCGGGGGGCGCGCGGAGACAACCATTGTGAGCTTTGGCGTTTGGTTTCCACGACTAAGAGCACTATCACCATACACTCTTACAATTTTAGCGTACGTTTCCGAAGCTGTTTCGCCCAATCTGGCGCAAAATTTTATCGCGACGCGTTGCTCTTGATTTCGTTTTTCCATTTTCGTGACGAGCACTACAAACACACGTCTACTCAACTTGACGCAGCAGGCGAACTAAACAAGCTAGAGCGATGGTACATATATCAATGGAGAGGGGAGGGATGCCGGAAAAAGAGAAAGGGAATTTCAAGGTCACAGGTTTACCACAAGCGCGGCAATAAAATCAGTCTCATTATGATTTATGATTTATAATTAATAGTGTTTATTATATATATATAATAATAATATAGTAATCAAGTAATCTATAGTCTAGAGTTTAATTGTGATATACAAACAAACACACGTTTACTTTTGATAAGATTCATAAGAAACATTTTATAGGTTCATTAAATTTATTAGTTTTCGTCCCATGGCTTTGCCTCCGTAGAACTATATGCAATCTTGGTCTAGGATTCATATACTTTGTTAACATCTCCTTTGTGGGAATGCACTTTATTAATCATGAGCAAGTTTACACTGCAACTTGCACTTTACTGAGTTTCAGGCGGTTATGACCACAATCTTAAATAAATTATCTATCTATCTTTTTGAGAGCTGGATCAACGTCTGCTTTAACATTTGAATCAATTTTTTGCTTGTTTGTAATACTTTATTGTATAGTAGTCTTGAAACAGGACATCTTTCACATGTTTATAGAAATCTTAATTTTTCTTCAATTACTTATTAAATAAACAATAATTAATGAAGAGTGGATATTTGTTACTTATACAAGCAGCCATATGTCTGCACAAAGAATGGAATTTGGTACATAGATGGACAATGGCCTGATATATAATATAGAGGATTATCATAAGCATACCAGCTGTTAACTTGTGTACTGTTGATCATAGGCCTTCCTCATACACATCCATAAGGAACAACCCCAACCACCTGCATCTACAAACTTTGTCATGGGGTCTTAGCATAGAATGGGGCACCCCTTCCTTGCATAGGTGTCGTAAGAGGCGATTAAGGGAACTTAACGATCGAGAGATGGACAGCAGCATACCTCTTAAAACATTACCAAAGTCTAACTGCAGTTACCAACTTGCCTACCAAGTACGAAAACTACTAGCAAAATCCTTCAAGTGCAAATATAGTACATTATTTGTTAATTCACACATCCAAATTCTCTGATAACAGCTAGTATATTTTATTTTAAATACATTATTGGAATTTAACGCGATGAATTTTTTTTTGTAGGTAAATAGTACCAACATACCTGTTCTTATATTGCCGACATTTAAAATATGTGTAAACATCACGAAAGATTAAAATTAACTAGTATATTATAGTTTTATAGTATACATGAAGTATCTGATGTGTATATACTTTTGTATTAAATTTTGTTCAAATCCGTAACTTTTGCATGTAAGAGTAACAAATATCCATCCATCATTTAAAATTTTTGCATTTATAATATGAATAGGATTTTATTTCTAACCTCCTTCAACATACACATGGCGAAATCAATGTGACAGTCCCTTTCATGTACTTCATCTAGTATTATATGGCTGTAATTGGTTAAACCTTGGTTAACTTCCAAATCGACCAAAAGTATTCCTGTAGTACAATACATTATACCTCCACGTTCCCTACTTTCTATTCTGAAAATTAAGATTTTTTGATAAGATATATTTATTTAAACCTACAAAGAATTCCAGACTTACAAAATTATTCAATCCCATTCATGTTTTGTCCTTTGATATCTATTTATATATTAAAGTTAGGAGAGTTTTAAGTGTAACTTTACAGGAGATTGTTAAACTTGGAATTTTTTTAATCTACAGGAGGAATATTATGTATTGTACCAAATACTGAAAGCTTTTATTCTTACATAAATATCTTGCTTCATGCACTTTTATAGTTAATCCCATGCATGTATGCCAATTTTGGAGATTCCTGATAGTAAAATTATTTATTTATCAAGCAACTTACTTTTCTAATCTTACTGCATATCCAACAGATGACCCCATTGACTCTGCTCTCTCTTCAGCGACTCTTGAAGCCAGAGATAGGGCAGCAATGCGTCTAGGTTGCGTTACTAGAATCTTTACATTAGCTCCCTTATTGTTTAATATAGCATCATCTAAAATTATTTGTGGGACCTAGAAAACCATTAATAATGTTTAAAATGGACTTGATTAATAACATCAATTATTTTTAATACATATATTTTAGTAGGTTTTAATATTGTGAGAACATTATTATTAAACATAGTAATGGTTCTTTCAGAGCAATTTAATAATCGTAAAATGTACTCTTGTTCTTTTATGTAACAGTTATAAGTTTTGTAAATAGGCACCTGTGTTGATTTTCCACACCCTGTCTCCCCACTGACTACAATTACTTGATTATTATTAATAACATCAAGAAGATCTTTTGATTTTTTGTAAGTTGGCAATTTTTCCCTGAATTGCATTAGTTTTTTATAACTTGATCTTTTGAGCATGTCTTTATAATCTTCATATAAAGCTATACTAAGGTCATTGATTTCATTATTTGTTTCTCTTATTTTGACTCCTTTAGAGAGACATTCTTCTAGTTTTTCTTTAAAAGTTCCTGTGATGATATCTTCATAACTATATTTATAGTCACCAGCACCTCTAAGAGACAATATCCTGGGCTCATTACCTTGGTCTGTTGTAGGTTCTGCCGAAACTGGTATAAAGTCAGGAAGTTTAGAAGTACTCGGTTTATTATTATACACCAATGCTGGTTTAGAGTTTGGTTTAATAAATTTGTAATCATCAATATCTTTACTGTTATGAGAATTTTTTGAGTTATCATCTTCACTACATGGTAATTCTTTTTTTGGTTCAATAAATTCAGGCACAACACATTTTGTTGACTTTTCATCTCCATCTTTAATTTTTTTTATTAGTGAAATATCTTGATAGGTTGTAAGTTTAGCTATAACTTGCAATTTATTTTTTAATGTAACCACTATTGACTTTGGCACATTTAGATGAAACTAAAAAAAAAAAAGAAAATTACTTAATAAGAGTAAGACCACAAAAATAATTTCAATTATGAATTACTTTTATGGAACCAACAGATTCACTACTGTACCAATTAGTTTATTGGTCAGTAGACAATCTTAAGGGTGGTTGTTTTCTTTTTAATGTGTGAAAATGGCATGGTAACCCTGCCTGTGCTATCAGTATACACTGTTGAGGTAACAGTAAGAGGTGATAGGTGAGGATGAAAAGGCAGTTCAGTTAGCTTATTGTGACTAACTCAACGATAGTCACAATAATTTCCAGATGAAACCGCGTAGAGGTCGATTTGATAGGGTATATTGAGAGCAATGGGGACTAACCTCACCATTACTAACACTGTCACAAAATACAGCCAGTCAGTGATAGAGTGGTAATAATTTATTATAAATAGGTCCTAGTCTCTATCAGACTATTTTAAATAAATGCTAAATAAACAAAAAAAAAAAACGTTTACTAACTTTGAATTCTTTTGCCTTTTTACCGTGCTTTTTTTGTTGGTTTCTGTAGAATAGGCCAATTTCCTTGCCCCTCAAGCCGGGTGGATGTCTTTTAATTAAAGAATGTTTTTGTCCCCATGAATGCCATGATCCATCATGATGAGATCCATCATCTCGCATTTTCCCTTGTTGGGACATATTCATTGAATATTTATTTCACAATCAGCACAATTTTTTCAATAAACACAAAAGGTTTACTCTATAAACTCGTAAAATAAAATATTATACTTATTTATAAATCAAGGACATAAAGATAATTATAAAATAAAATTAATGAAAAGAAAGAATATAGACTATTTGTAAAGACAGAAATCTTTGGTAAAGACAGATAAGAATCTTTTATAAAGGAATCTGTGTTAGCGATTTGACATTTCAAAAAGAGACCAACCGGGCGAACCATCGATAATTATTGCTCGAACTATCGATAATTGTGTTTTGCTACTATATCGATATTACTGTTCTATATTTTGGCTTTAGTATAATAAATTTACAGTTAGGCATTTTTTAAAATAATAACAATAGAAAATATAAATAATTCGTTATTTAAATAATATTTATACATATATTTGATGAGATGTAAACCATTTAGACATTTCAATGTGTAACTGTTTACTTAGTTTATTAAAACTAAGCAAAAAAATACATTTTTTTAAAGAGAAAATAGACTATGCAAAGAAATTGAACAAATATTAAGCTTTTTACGGTTTAAGATATTTATTTCTCAAAAGAGTACCTACAAATATTCATTTAAGTGAGAATACACCGAACCAAACTTAATTATATTATTGTATTGTAATTAGGAGCATATAAATGACGGTATACAAAAAGTCATTCTTCTGATAAAAATCTGCGGTATGTGTATTAAACAGAGAAACAACTGACTTAGTTATTATAACTATACGTTAACAGAAATTATACGTTATCAATTTATTGATAACGTATAATTTTTTTATTATAATGTAATGTTTATTTTTTTTTTCTCAAAAACTTATCAGCCTGGATTAAAATTGTAGTGTAGTAGTAAAAGGCCTATTAATTGTTCACATCCACAAAAATAATTAAGGTTTTGGTAATAATAGAAAGAAGGAGAAAATAAATAAAGAATGCAACATTTCGGGTACAAACGAAAAATTTATAAAAATGCAAATTTCTCGAAAACTATAAATTTTTGCAGAACATACATGGGGGTGTTTAGAGAAATTGAAATTGAAATTGAAATCATTTATTTGCTGGAATAAGGTACATTTTTAGGTGTTACTTTACAAGAAAAATAGTCCAATCTTATTCTGCCACACTGTCGTGCAAATATAAAAACTTATTAAACAAAACATTAAAATAATTTTATCATAATAACATAAACATTTGCAATAATATTTTGTCACTTTCTGTATCTATTCATGTCAATAATCATTAAAAATATACACAACACAAAGTGAAACATATCTAATCATTTATAATTATTTTATCATTTAAAAACTCATTTACTGAGTAATAACATTTATCCATTTAGCTTGAAGAGCTTTTTTTTAATAGGACAAATTAACAATTTCTGATACTTTCAGGCAAATGATTATATATCCGTATTGCCATGCAGTAAGCGTTAGTACTCAATACATTTAGTCGTTGTGTAGGTATATATAATTTATTTTTATGTCTGTTACTGCGGCTTATAATATCTGTTTGAAATAATTGTGAGTGTTTCTTAACAAAAATACACATTTCTAACAGGTAAAGAGAAGGCAAAGGCAGTATTTTATTCATCCTAAATAATGGTTTTAACTCGGAAATGTGTATTAGACAGTGCTCTAATACATTTTTTTTGTGCCTTAAATACAATATCAGTGTCAACCGAATTACCCTACAGTATTAAACCGTATCTTAAAAGAGATGATACATAACCATGGTATGCTAATAATGCTAATTCCTTGCCAAGTTTTCCACAAAAGGTTTCCAGTTACAATATCGATCTATTGTTATACCAAGAAATCGGTTTGTCAACAGTATTTATATAGTCATTGTTTACAGAAGCTATAATGTCAATTGAATTACTATTATATGTCAAAAATTCTATTAATTTAGTTTTGGATAAGTTCACTTTTAAATTATTCTCATCTAGCCATTTTATCACAGCTAAAAGCATATTATTAAGTTCATTTTCAAATTTAGATTTGTCTTTATTGTCATCTCAGAAGCCCTTGGACCCCTCTATCGATGGTTTTCGTTTGGAGCACACGAAACCGGACACCCTGTATAACAATTCTTATAAGAAAATCTATAAATTTTTCGAAACTATTACCGATAAAACATTATTCAAAAATATTATAAATTATTTACAATTCTATCGGTGGAAGCGGTGATCCGGAACATATAGTACAAAACGAGATATCATAATTTATTTTGTCACAAATTGTTTCAAAATATGGCATTTCAATGTCAAATCAAAAAATATTTTAATTTCTTTAGGTAATTTGTTATGTCGCGTCCTTCTTTTTTAACATTATAATGATACCTCATTCATCATTAATGATCATCATTATACACATATATTTTGGATATTCAAATCATATCATGTAATAGTGTTATAACAAGGAGACAATTTACAGTTAAACTGTGCAAGCACACACAACGCCAGCTGTTACTTTAAAAATATTTATGGGTAATATAAATATAATTGTAGTTATGTGATGAAACATTTTAATGAACTTGATTGGAGTTTAATAATTATTTTCAAATAAAATATTTATGAATTTATGTAAACTGTGAAAATGATATGGAGAATTCAAGAACAAAAAAGTTTACTAAACATGAAACTTTAATATTCCTCAAGCACAAAATACAGATCATTTTGTGCTGGAGGAATTACAATAATCCACAAGCACTGCAATATGCTGAGCTTTAGCAGAAATTTTTGAACTTAAGTAATAATGATAAATAATATCCATAAATGCCAATTGTAGTCATTGTGCCCATTAAATAGTCTAAGTAGCTCACATTCCATCAAATGTATGTGTAAATATTAATTAAATAAAGATTTAGAAATGTCAAAATATAAATTTATTATAATAAATCCCAAATAAAAAAATATTACAAAAAAAATAATACAGAAATATCTATATAGTAGCATTATTACTGATAGTTCTAGCGATAATTATCGATGACGCAGCCCTTTTGTCTTTTTTTTGAAACGTCAAATCATTAACGTACAGATTCCTCTACAACATATTCCTATCTGTGTTTAGACAGTCTTTCTGACTTGTGTTGTCATTTTTACGATTGTTTCGAGGGCTCGTTTCTTATTGAGTTTTATTTTTCATTTCGATTGAATTAAATTAAATTGGACTTTGTTAATTAAACAATCTTTAAGGTTTCTTCTGTGTTGTTTATTCATAATAATGTAATATTTTTTGTGAAAAAACATTATCGTAACTAATAAAAATATGTTAGTGAAAAAGGTAATACCAAAACTATAACGATGTGCAATAAACCATTGAATTAGTGAATTTGTTTATCGTTTGTAAAACTGCTTTTTATTTTAAATGAATCAAATGGTTCATTCGCTCATAAAATTGTATGAGTATTTTTGTAATATTACTTGTTTGGAAAACTTGTGGATAAGCCATGTCATTAGTGGACTAAATCGCAGGAGCACAATTTAGTAGTCATAATATTCTACCGAGGAGTTTGTTATCTTTATGAAATAAGTCAATAAAATTAGTAATTTAACAAATTAACTGAACTGTTGTGTATCAATTAAATTAGTAATAATTTTGGGAAATTAGAATTGCTGAAGACTTTGTGAGATTATAAAAACTTGTTACTGTATGTAGTGATTTAAAAATAGTATTTGTTTAAAATACTATTTATTGTTTCAGGATTTTTGGGCTATGATCTGCAGAGGTCGGAAGAAAAAAATTGTTACATTGTTAATAATATTGATATTTTTGATTAATGCATTAATGTATGTTAGTTTAGAATTATACAATACTGTAAAGAGAAAACGAGACAAAGATATATGGTATAAAAGGTAAATTTATACAGAAATTATAATTTATTGGGTACTAACTAGTAGCTAGCCCCGATTCTGCATGTTTTTTTTTTTAAATAAAATATATAAATTCAAATCATCTTTATTCAAATAGACTTGTTTACAAGCATTTTTAAATCGTCATTTTTTAATCTAGTGCAGGGTTTGAAAGGTTGTTATCTTTTGAGAAGAGCCCGCAAGAAATTCAATAGTTACTCTTTTATATCTCTGTTTACATTGTATGTATTTATTTAAATGTACTATGTCTAAAATTTCATGGTTGTTAAACAGCCTGTGTATAATCGACTAACACCATGCACATTTGTCATTTAAGTAATCATTTAGTGTGTAATAGGCTTTCTTTAATAAATGTTTTTTATTAACAGTTTTAAACTTATTAAAAGGCAGATCCAAAATATTCTTTGATGTCTTATAACATTTATTATCCATTCTCATAAAAGACCTATTAACTTTTTCTAAATGCTACTTTGGAACAGCAAGTTTGATTTTGTATCTAATGTTAAGATTATTAAGATCACTGTTTTTAGGAAACAGTTGAAGATTCTTGCATATATACAAAAATTGTTTTATTAACATAGTATTTAAAATAGTATTTACAAAAATAGTAAATATAGTTGATAATATGGCTTTCTATTAGTAAAAGATTTTTAAAGTTGGTTAAGTAGTTTAATATTATTACACTTTCACACATTTCTGAAAAAAATGGACAGACAGCTAGACAATAATGTGAACTTATTACCAGAGGCAAATTACAAAAATCATCTACATGGGGTACTGTTGTGGTCTTCATGGTGAAATTACTGGGTATGGGAGCAATTTTATAATCTTCAGGGACGTAAATATCCATATAGGGCACAACAGGCATCACAGTGCATTGTATGATTTTTCTTTATGGGTGAAAATGGAACCCTAACCACGCTAACGGGATATGCTGGTGGAGCACCAGTGAAGAGTGATTGATGAGAATGAAAACAGGTCAGTTAGCCCATCATGATGAATTCACCAGGAATTAACCATGATAGTTTCCAGGGAGAACCGCGAGGAGGTCGACCTAGTTGGGTATATTGCTAGCAATGGGATTCTCAGTCTCCATTACTAACGATCCCTTTTCCCTCCATGATGTTAATATAAGGTTATTTTTCAATCAGTTGGACTATCAGCGTTTTTGCTTTTTGATTTGTGAAGTTAGGAAGTTTTCCTATGGGCCAATAGCTACATTTAGCTAAAGAAAGCTTACCAAGCTTGACCATTGTCAGGCTTGGTAAACATTTGCATTATCATCATCGACTTTATAGATCACAATTGTTACTAACAATCCCTTTCCCCCTAGTTATATGCGATTGTCTATACATGTTTATGATTAATATATTTGTATAATGTGCTATTTGTTTCAGTTTACATTTTGATGATAATTCATATGTGGACAAGACTGGAATGCGAGTGGTTGTTGGCCATTATGTTGGTGGCAGTACTGGGGCTAACTTGACTGATGGTATGTATGTTGGTATATATATATATATCTATATTTTATTTTTTTTACATCTGAATAGAGTAAGTATATATATATATATATATATACTAATATGTATATATATATATATATATATATATATATATATATATATATATATATATATATATATATATATATATATATATATATATATATATATATATATATATATATATATATATATATATATATATATATAATAAAAATATTATATAGTACTTACTACCTACTATTTTATATTACAGAGGTCATAAACAGTAACAACTATGCGCCTGTGGCTGGCGCTGGTGAAGGAGGCAGACCAGTGCAGTTGTCTCAGCGTGAATTGATTACTGCCAGAGATCTCTATTCATTACATTCATACAATATTTTAGTCAGTGATAAAATATCAATAAATAGAAGTCTTCCTGACATGCGGAGTGAGAGGTATTTATTTGTCTTATTTTCAATATAATATGACAGAAGTATTCTAGTAATCTGTCCTTTTTTAGAGTAAAGGCACACAGGTATGTGGCCTTCTGAGCCACTGTAATTTTTTTCTCCGGAACTACAGTTGCTTTCTTTCTTGTTTCCTTGTAAATTTAATTCCTTTTTTTCCAACTTCTTCCTCAATCCTTTCCTCTATACTGTAGCTTGCTTGCTTGTAGGGAATGTGTTTGTTAGTGGTATCCACTAACAAACACATTCCCTAAGGAGGGGGGGAGTTGACAGGCAAAACCAAAAGTCAAAAGCTTGAGGAATCTGTGTAAAAGCATATTATAATTGACCCTAAATAATTGGGATAAGGACAGGAAGATGATGATTTATAGATTAATACATTACATTGTAGAGTAATAGCAGATAAGCCTCTGTGGTGGTACAGGTGAAATCATTGTAATTAGTGGTATGTAAAATTAATAATGTACTCCAGCTATAGAACATGTTAGGACAGAGATTTCAGAAATCAAAATTTCAAAAATAACTAAAATTTTGAGGAGAATCAAAAATTTTTGACTCATTTCTATAGGGAAAATGTTCAGTTTTGCTGATAGAACATTCTATTCATTTCGATTTCACTCTATAAAAAATTGAGTGGCAATATGTTCATGTTGCTCTTCGCTTGTTGTTTAGAGGATTAAAAATATTACATTGCTTTTATTTTTTTCAGTTGTAAAAATGTTCAGTATAATATTGAGAATCTTCCTACAGCAACTGTAATAATAGTTTTCCACAATGAAGCATGGTCTACTCTAATGAGGACAGTAATGTCTGTAATATTGAGATCTCCAGAACAATTATTGAAGCAGGTATTTTTAATGTTATGTAAATTTGTACGTAGGATATTATGTTATGTTAGACAGTGAGTGTTTAGTTGACTCAGGTGTTTTGCAGAAGAAATCTTTTGTATACGGTAAATGTTCCATATTAGTTGACCCGAAAGATGTTGTTCAAATTACAATGCGACCTCCTTTCTTTAAATTTTATATACTTTTGATTCTTTTTCCATGTTATCTTGTGAGCATTGGAATCAATGAAACAACGTGATCTGCATTTTAGTCATGTTGTCATAATGCAAATAATTATATAGTATTTTCTAAACTTTTAGTCTTTCGCGTTGCATGTTTTATAAGAAATGAGAATTAACTGGATTATTTAAGGTAAACAATGATAATTTACCTGAATTATCTCAATTTTTCTTTTTCTAAAAACTTTAATTGGACTATAATAAGCATTTAAAATGAAGCCAAATCAATCTAGTCCCCTCAAGTAATGAATTATGAACAAACAGCATTACTAAAAGCGATATTTTATTGAAGGATATTTTTTATTTATACAGATTTAAAACATAAAGTTATGCAGAGAACTTCAATCTCTTATGGGACATACTTATATAGATAGTGTGTATACAATATACCAGATAATTATATAAGTACTATTAATTAAACAATATATTTTCAGATTATACTTGTAGATGATGCCAGTGAACGGAAATACCTTGGCAAGGATTTAGAAGACGCTGTGAATAAATTAAACAAAGTTCAAATATTAAGAAGCACCGACAGGAAGGGATTAGTAGGCGCTAGACTTATGGGCGCTAGGCATGCAACGGGCGATGTTTTGGTATTCTTGGACGCTCACTGTGAAGTAAGTGATTTTTCCTTTAATAGTAACAATAAACTCTTTATTATATATCTATCTACGACGCATCTCTATGCGTCGCAAATCTCTATTGTAAAGCACATTGTATCAGAAATTTGTACACTATAGACACTGCGTTTCATATAGCCACTTAAAATATTATATTAGGTTTGTAATAGAAAATATGGCAATATTCTATGGATATATAATATATGATAAATGCTAGATGGCAACTTTGACTTTGACAATAAGATTTTGTCTTTTAGAATGTCTATTAAAAATATTGAAGATAGTCTGTTGATCGATTTCCTTGAGTGGAAAGATTTCAAGTTATCTCCAAGCTAATTTCTGTTAAAATTGGTTCAACGAGTGTTGATTATTTAAATTTATCAAACGGATAAACAAATAGAAATGCCGTGTGACTCCGGCATAGAATGGACTGCCCCTTCCTTTTCCGTGGGTGTCGTAAGAGGTGACTAAGATATCTTAGTGGTCGAGGGATAGGCAACTTCCCTCTTAAAACTTCACCAAAAGTCTGCGGTTGCCAATCCGTCTAACAAGCATAGCATCTACTGGTAAAATTTCCCTTATGGGGAATGCCTATGTTCAGCACTGGACAGTTAACAGCTACTATAATCAAATGATAGGTATAAATATTCTTATATTTAAATGCATTTACACTGTATCCGTCTTGGATATGCTATATTAAGTATCTGGCATGTCCAAGATATATAGGTGTATGGATAATGAAAGTATCAAATTTTAATTGATAAATTAAAATTGATCAAAAATAAAAAAAAAAAAAAAACTTCAAACAAAATATCTATATTTAAAGCATTACAGATATCATAAAGATCGGATCTAAGCTCTAAAACTTATAATATTGTTGTATATCACAATATCATAAATTTTGAAGCTGATTGGAATTATGGCTAAATAAATGGTCATGATGAAGTTATAAAAAAATTTAGATTAAGATATATACGAGTGACAGGAATTCTTCATTTGGAAATATTAGCGTTCCGTTTCACACATTACGAATTACTAAATGCGTAGCACATTACCTGCGGTGAATATTTATTATCCAAAAATGACATTATAGCAGATTTATTTCCATTAACCAATCATAAATATAACCAACAATGATTATTAATTTCTAGTGTAAATATTACTACAAAGTGAAACTATAATCGAAGTGTACAAAGTAAATCTATTACAGGTAACAGACGGTTGGATGGAACCTCTATTAGATCGAGCGGGTAGTGATGACGTGTTTATTTGCCCACATATCGACCTGCTCTCCGAAGATACTTTGGCCTATACTAAAAGTATAGACGCTCACTGGGGTGCCTTCAGTTGGCGCCTCCACTTCCGATGGCTGATGCCTTTTGGTGAAGTGCTTTTGAAAAAAACTGAGAATCCATCTAAACCTTACCCAACTCCTGCCATGGCAGGAGGACTTTTTGCAGTGAGAAGGAGTCTCTTTTGGCGGTTGGGAGGTTACGATGAAGGCATGATTATATGGGGCGCTGAAAACCTAGAACTTTCTTGGAGAGCATGGCAATGTGGGGCTAGAGTTGAAATAACATCTTGTTCCAGAGTTGGCCACATATTTAGAAGGCATAGTCCTTATAAATATCCGGGTGGGGTTTCAAAAGTTTTAAACTCGAATTTAGCACGCGCGGCTACTGTGTGGATGGACGAATGGGCAGAGTTTTTCTTTAAGTTCAATCCTTCTGTTGCTGCTATAAGAGATGAGCAAAACGTAGCCGATAGAGTGGAACTTAGAAAAAAATTGCAGTGTAAAAATTTTAAATGGTATTTAGAAAATGTATGGCCGCAGCACTTTTTTCCGACTGATGATAGATGGTTTGGAAGAATTCGTAATGACAGAGGTGGATGCTTAGGGGTCACTGCCGGCACTCCAGGGCTTGGTGGACCAGCTGCTGGTATTCAATGTGGCAGTGACTTTGAAATTGAAAAATTATTGCTTTATACACCAGAAGGGAAAATAATGGCTGACGAGGGATTGTGTTTGCAACAAGGAAATGGACGGGCTTTGTGGAAGAGTTGCAGCGATAATCCCAAACAGACTTGGCTGCAGAAGGGTCCACGACTGAAGACCAAGGGTGGGTTGTGTTTAACGTTAGTTTTGACTAATAGTGAAGATGGCGTGGGTGATCCTTTAACAGCAAAGAGGTGTGTTAAAGATGGAGGGCAGATTTGGCATTTTGAACGCGTGCCTTGGCGCTAAATGTGATAATGTATTATTAGTTATAGTTCATAAGTAGGAACAGTGAATACTGCAAATAAATTGACCCCGAATTACGTAATACCATTATTAGATTAATATTTTACTACAAATTGCACCAAATGCAAAATAATATTAGTTCGTTAGTACTTAAGATTTGTTTTAACAATATTTTGCATTTATTCATTAAGAACTTATCTAATCCTTATTGTTAATTTTCAATGATTAATAGGAATAAAATGATATTTGTCCAATATTTTACGGGCATATGTTCAAATTAAATAATCTGCTGCTGTTTAATTTTAAGGATATTACCATTTGATAATTATAAGGATTTTTGTGATTTTGTAAGATTTAATATTTTTTATTTTATACCAGTAATGCTTTTTTTATATAATATGTAGTTTTTATCACACATAATATTTCAAATTACTGCAAAAGCCTTAAATTACTCAGCGGGCTATGGAGAGAGCTATGTTCGTTTCTTTGCGTGATAGAATCCGAAACGAGGATATCCGCAAAAGTATCAAAGTAACCGACATAGTTCGAAAGGTAAGCAAGCTGAAGTGGCAATATACTGGTCACATAGCGCTAGAAGTGACAACCGATGGGGAAGGAAATTTTTTGAGTGGTGAACCCGTACGGGGCAAACGCAGTGTAGGACAACTCCCCACTTAATGGAGTGATGACCGCAAATGCATTGCAGGTAGTCAGTGGATGCAGGTAGCTAAGGACCGTTCCTTATGGCAGTCTATAGAGGAGGCCTATGTCCAGCAGTGGACGGTAAATGGCTAAAGTGATTATAGTGATAAAGATACATATTTCATTTTTTAATAAGTTACATCTGGATGTAATCTCGTGTACTATTAAAATCTTAATATCGTGATAATTTGTTAATGGTTTAGTCATGTAATTTATAATAAAAACAAAATTTATAATTAAATAGCGGAAACAAAGTACTCGTAACATCATGGGCACAGCCTGTGTAAGTGTGAAACGTTTTATCTTTAAACTGACAAATTATTATTTAGTATTATAATTACCGTTCATGTTTATGTCAAAATTTATTTGAAATTGATTATTATGATTATGTATGTATGTATTATAAATTATATTTATGCGGAAAAAGCCTGTGATATTCTGTTAATAGTTCAAAATAAACATTTAGGAGTTAGTTCGATAAATAATCATCAATTACTAGGTCTTATTGTTAGGACGGTAAAATATCATAGGAATATGTGTATAATAGGAAGTCAAAATCTTCTTTCATAATATATATTTGACGTGAAACAGTAATTACAAATAATGAACATTGTAATTGTATGTAATGAGGTTGTGTTTTGTTGTACTCTGAAGCTGTTAAGCATTAACCTTAGATAAATAACTAAATATTGTTAGCATCGATTCATAAAATATCAAACGTCCAATAAATCTATTTTTAGGCTTCTTAAAAAACTGGTGTTCTACCGTTTTTGATCCCATTATTGTTTTTTTTTTGTTGATTGGTTTGCTATTTTTTTTGCAAAACAAAACCTTTAATTCTATTGAAATATTTTGTATTTTTTTTTGTATATTTGGCAACAGTTAAGTCTTATATACTAATTATATATAGCAAGGTATTAACAATAAAAATAGGTTTGTAGGATGTTTTGAATTTTATGATTTAGACAATAAACTTTCGTATCAATTATTTCAATATGTACTCGATACCCCACTTAATATATAATATTTAATACTCAACATATCATAACTATAAAATATTATATTAATAAATTGTAATTTTACATGAAGTTCTGAAGAAATATCTAGTCTAATATTAATTGAATCTATGTATGATAAGTAAATTGGTATAAATATATTGCGTGTTTATGTGTGAATGACATTGAATCGCTTATAATTTTTTTTTTGTAGTCAAAGCAATATTTTATAGTGAGTACGAGTAAGCACACACTGCACATTGTTGACTAATAGAAAAAGGAATGTACGTATACGTTACAATTACTTAATCTCTTATCAGCTATTATATATGAAAACGTAATGTACGATAACTTTGTGTAAATTAAAGATTTTGTAATACTTTACATTCGTACTTTGTACTAAGTTAAAAGATGTTGATTTTGTTGGATTTTTTAAGTTTTAATAGAAGATATTGAGGTCGATTCGAAGGTGTAATTTTTCTATATTTAAAATTTCAATTTGATATCACAGTGAAATATTTATTGTAAGGACCAATATGAACTAATTTTATAATAGATTTAAGTGAAAATTAATATAGTTTTAATTTATGGTGGTTCATAAAATGGTAATTCTGCAAAATTATCAAATTAAATTATTTTGTTAAGATATTAGAGAAATGGCGCGTCAGAATCGGCCTTATCCTATTAGAGTGCACCCGCCCATATTGGTTACGCTGTTTTATTAAAATTATGTATACAATTATAAAGTATTACACATGAGTTTATAAATTATAAAAACAAAATGTTTTAGGTCAAACCTTAATTTTAATAATTCTATAATTCGTATATAATTTAAATTGATACTGGATTGCGTCCTGTTTCTTTCCAATTAGGTGATATTAGTTAATAATGCTATTCAAACAACATGCAGATACAGTAGTTACTGGTAAATATCTAAGTTGATTACTTTAATACAAAAAAGAAAAAATCGGCCTATTTGCAAAATATAAGGTCATTAACATTACGTTTTATACGTACATAGAATGTAGTAATGTCATGCTTGCATAAATGTGAATATTCTAATATCTGAAATACAGTAAATGTTGTTTTATTCAGAATTAAATGACTGTATACATTCTGTGCAATTTAGATTATTAGTTGACAAATAAGATAAAAACTTATGACATTTGTTTTAGATAAAGTTTATTGGTGTCATTATAGAATTAGTCATAATGGGTACACAAAATGAATTTGTAAGTAATTCTTGAATATGTATATTTATATAATAACAAAAGAAATGGCTTCTAATTAAAATTTAAGAAATCGAACTGATCGGTGAAATGTTTCAATTAAAAAAAAAGGTGCGTTTAAAAAAAAATATCAAACTGCTAACTAAATGTTGACACGTTATTGATATTCGAGCCTCTATCTATATCATGTAATACTATTAGTATTAGTATTAGGAGTGTTCATAAAATAAGAAGGATAATTGTAATTTAAAAATATAAAGTTTTGAGTCTTGGAAAGATTCATATTTTACATAATTTCCAGAAAAAGGTTTTAATCAAATTATTTTTTCATACAAATCAAAAAGTCCAAATGATTGTAAAGAAAGACTGGTCACTATTGATGTTTTTAAATATTATTTTTCAAGGCCCTGGCTCCTTAAAAAAATTGTTGCATACCATACATAGCTGAATCTTCGCGGTTTAGGCCTGGTGTACCCATTATGACTTATCTATATATAGGTAGGTAACAAGTAATACAATTTTAATAAACTGTATTAATACGCGAATAAATGAAACGCGTTGAGATTAATAACAAAACTGTACTGACACTTCTGAGTAAGTATTTTAACTGTTCACTGCCTCTTGAGCTTTGTTAGTGAAGTTGTTTTTTGATAAATACTTTTAACGTTGTATATTTGTGTTTAAAATGTCAATTAACATATTTAAGTCTTTAAATATTGAAAATAGAACAAATCTCACTTTATTAAATTTAAAATAAAAAAATTTAAAGCTCAAAATTTTCAATGTATGTACAACATCAACATTTCGTATCTTTCTATATGTTTTTTAAGAAGTTGCATATAAATTTTGTTTAGTATGCAAAGTTCTGTAGAACTTTCATATAGTATATCGTGCATTCCGTTATTAATGATTTACAAAATAAATATTGCAATTGAATTTGTTTTTTTTTTTTCGCTCATTTTATGATTGCATCCACTTTATTTAATGAAATAGGCTACTGCTTTACTAATTTACATTAAGCACGTCCATATCTGTATATTTTTTTGTAAACAAAAATTGAATAGTATTCCTGCCTGTGCTATTGGTTTACTCTAGTAAGTTACCAGTGAGGGATGATAAAAGATGAAGTTAGGTTAGTTCAGTGGCAATTTTATCAGTAAGTTGCATGGTATAGAACCTATGACAGTAGAATTTAGGGGCAGCAAATTTAAGGTCAAGAGTTAGTGTCATTAAAAAAAAAAATGAATGTGATTGAGAATAAGAGTACCGAATTGTAGAGTAAAATTTGAATAGCCCTCTGGCGGCAAGTATGTATCCTTCACTGGGTCAGTTGGTCGATCGTAATGGATTAATTAGAAATTAATCACGTTAGTTTCAGGAACAATGCATGTAGGTCTAGATGACAGGATATATTACTATGGGGTCACTAACTCTATTACTAATAATATCACTAACATATACGAGTATATGTATTTTTATATTGTTATTATATTTTATATTCCTTTTTAAAATGCCGGCAGCACATCAGCAATGCCTTTGGTGTTGTGGGTGATCATGGGTAGCGATAGTCACTTACCATCAGATGAGCCGCATGCTCGATTGCCCCCTGTGTTATAAAAAATAAAAATGTGCATTCAGTCAGTTTGAATCTTGGTTAGGTAGCCTATTATTAAAAAACGAACCGATTCTACATATAAAAATGAAATGATATTTTTATATGTAAAATAATTTTATATGTCATCACATATTTCATATGTTAACATATTTCGTAAGTATATATTGCATCTATTTTTTAAAAGAAAGTAAAGGTTAAAAAATACACGCGCCTTACAGAATTTTATTTTATATTTTTATTGTTATAAAAAATTAAGTAACATGTATAAAATATTGTATAATAATTTTACTAATATGCTTATGAAGTATAAGAATAAGAGCTACATAATCGTTGGTTATATTAATTGTACATAATTATACACCCAAAGGCAAAACTGAAATCGACATATTCGTCTTGTTAGGTAACAATGAATTGTTTCATTCCATTCAAATACATTATTATTTGTAAATAAATTAAGCGTATTTTCCATGAATATGATAATTATTTTTGCAATGAATAGGGTTTACCTCCAGATTGGGTGTCATTGCTTTCATTAGTATGATTTAAGTACTTAGGGTACCTATCTACTTTTTTTTGCAGTTATATGTAAAATTATTAATGTCAATATTTTGTCATTTGCTCTAGCATATTATTATTGAATTTTAATATTAAAAAAAAAATTAAGTACGCTAAATAATTAATAAAAGAAAATGGTATTCGCTAGTTTATTGTGCCTCTGAGTGTCTTGTATAACAGTAGACAGCAAGTAATCAAACAATATCTATAAATAGGTACAAACACAAAAAAATATTATTTACAACTAGGTGTCGGTAATATATAGCAATATCTGTATATTTTGGTTATAATATTTATATATTTGTCCAATAATAGATATACTAAATATCAATTATCTAATATATAATATCGAAATGAAGAACTGGATTGGAATAAATAACTGACTAGTATGGACAATATCGAAATCGAGATATCCAATAAATAGATATTTTGGCTTTATCAATATTACCCATGCCTGTTTATAACACTATTAGGTACTTGGTGATAATACTTAGATTAGCTAAAAATGTTCAGTGCACCACATGATTAATGCCAGGGTTTTGTCTGATTTTATGGACGATTTATGGTGATCATGTCATTAACAAATAGGTAAGTTTATATGTAGGTATATTTTTGTAATGCCCCGCTTTCCTTGTGGACCAACTAGTATGCAGTTTATTCATCACTCGTAGTGAAATCCTACTTGTTATAAATGTAAGTGTTTGTAAACATGTTTATATGTTTGTTACTCAATCACGCTGAATAGATTTGAATGAAACTTAGTATAGTGGAAACAGCTGGTTTGGAATAACTTTAAGAAAAAATCACCTGAGTGTATATTTTACAAAGATTTAGATACGACTGCGTTCATGTTTACATTGTAGTATATTAGTTTGTATGTAAATTTGAATTTATGGAACTAAACTCTAGAGGTGCAATTAAGTCTCCAATACAGTTTTTTGATATAAAAGCTAATATGGTAGAAACGTAAACCTATGTTTAAGTCATATAATTTGAAAGTACGTTATCGACTTAGTAAATTTATTTATAAAAGATGATAATAAAAGAATAGAATTGAAAATGGAATTCAAAAGCGTCATTCCCTTATTGTATTCCTAAAATTAAAATTATTAAATTGATAATTTTCCCCAAAAAAAAATCTACTTCCATTCTGGTAAAGTCAGTTATTTTGATTTAAAAACTAAACTTCGGAATCAATTGGTTAAATTTTCTATGAAAGCAATTTAAAAGTATATTATTTCAGATAAAAAAAAAAATCATATCGGTTTATAATTAACGGAGTTATGAAGTAACAAGGATAAAAAATACAACTGAATTGAAAAACCTTCTTTTTTGGAAGTTGGTTGAAAAATCTATCTATGATTTAAAATTAAAAATTTAAGAAAGCATATAGTTTTTTTTTTATAAATTATGATTTCGTTATATTATTAAATTAAAATTTTAGAGAATGGCGCTTCTAAATCCACAACTCAGACCAGGAATGTTACTTGGCAATTTATAAGTACGTAAAAAATATAGGCCCATATCGGAGTGCGGGTTCTTTTACAATATTTCTTACTTCACCTTAACACATAGTATAATATTAAAGAACCGAGAGGAACTGCAAGTGATAACTGTTCACGGGAGGCTGTATTGCAGTTATCGCGGTTACAGATGTAACACCGCGCGTCACTGTGCCCTCGAGACCTCTCCACTGCTTCTAAACCGAGACAAACCGAATCCACTTGCACCTTCGGGACACAGCCTTTAATTATGTCCACTGTGTTACTGACTGAAAAAAGGGAATTTATTCTAAAAATCATACCACTCGGTAACCAATGACTATTCTAAATTTAAATTAAAAGTTGCTCCTAAGCAATTATTAATTTGAATTTAGAATAGTGGCACGAATAATGGCACTTTCGCAAAGAAAATATTTAGTAATTTTACATTTGTAGAGTTGGAAACGTGTAGTTCAAATAATAATTGTTGAAATATAATTTTGAAATGATATTCATTCTTTTGCCTTTTGATTATTATTTCCATTTCCATTGGTTAATATTGGTTTTACCACGTTTTTATGATCATGATTACAATTCCTGACTTTCATTCTTGGTTGGCGCACCTTAGAGACAATTATTTATTTTTTTATTTAAACTATTTCCTTGTTAGGTCTAATTGATCTAATAATTTGTGAACAAATATGTAACAGAAGTTTTCTTTTTGTTTGTTACCTTTGATATAAGCCGAGACTTAAATTACTATTATTTACATTTATGATATTGATAGTATGTACATATTTACTTACGACTTTTGTCATCTGGGGTAGCCACCATTTTTAAGCATCTGTACTCTATGGGCACCCTCGAACTTGTTGATGGTGGTGGATGACCATGTCTGAACACCCATTCTGGTGATACCCAATTACTGGGATGGCATTCTATAGGCGCGCCAGGTGAGAAAATTTCTTCAGGGCGGCAGCTCAGGCAACGTTTGTGGTAACAGCTCTCTGATGCCACTATAAATAAATATAACAAGTTTTAATATAACAACTACCTGTTTGACTTACAGCGGACTGAAGCATGCAGTTTGGTTCTCGTTTGCGCCACAGCTGCTCAAGACTAAGGGCCCCGAATGGTCATGAAATTAGTTGGGCTTTCTCGACCAAATTACACGTAAGTTAAAACGGTAAAATTATAGTTTATTCGAAGTTGATTTCCATATCAAAAAATTTGTATCAAGTAGGTTTTTCACGACAAATTCAAATGTGCTTGACGAAATTTAAACAAGTTGAGTACTACTCTTATTATATAATCGACTAAGTAATACCTATATTTGGAACTTAGAGTTCCGAGCATTATAACTATCTATAATCTTTATAAAAATAAAAAAAAAAAGCCGTGGAGCGGATTTGAATGCAATTTAAGACACAAGTTGACCATATCCTGGAGAAACACATAGGATCCTTTTATCCTAATTTAAGCGGCCAAAGTCGCAGGAGTACAGAAAGTTGTATTTACTGCATTATTAATGTTATGGACAGGTATAGATAACATACTCAGACTTATAAGAAACTGATGCCAACTGCTTAAAAATCAGTGGATTTAATTCATCCCCATAAATTTAAGCAATACAGGCATGTAAGATCTGTTCTGATTTCTTTTACACATGAAATATTTTTATCGTGAAGTTTTTTAACTTAATTAAGAGCTTTCTTAATGGCAATACGAGTATTTTAAGGTCGGTAGGTAATACAGTAGGCAGAGTGCTGTGAGTTGGATTTATCGACGGATAAAATAAATGTTATTTATTTACAATTTATATAATATAAATATACATTACAGAACTAGCTTGTAAAGTACTATAAAATATAGAAGCACTCTCGTATTAAAAATTATTTTAGAAAACAATAGTGCCAATTCTACATCTGTGATCTTATCATACTTTTAAAAATCTTGCTAAAGGGGCAAAATTAGATCTGATTTTTTTTGTTTTAAAACTACACATAGTTATAGTTTTATAATATATGTATATGTATAGATATTTATATCTTGGTACGATGCAACCCATGGAAGTAAATTTGTTATAGGAGATTTTTTCCGCGTGCACTTAAGTTATAAAATTAAAAAAAGGTATTTAATGCCTTTTTTTGTCATTTATTTAGGCATTTTAGGCTCAGGGCTGGTCATGTGCTTGTTGCCACTGAAATAAAAAATATTAAAACAGAGTTAAAATATTTAGGTAAAGAAGTGTTTTAAATCGATCGTGTGTAACAGTCTTAATCGATGGTCGTGTTCTTCGTGTTGATGACCACTCTAGGGAGCAGTTTACGTTTGTTTTAAACGTCGCAATCATATGTCATTTTCTCGCGTTTCGCGCCATTTTACCGGCCATCAGACGTCGTTCAGAACCACTCTCGGATATGTAATTATTGGAAGCAAGGGAATATGCTCTCGATGCGTCGGCATGCCGCATGCTGCTCGGTCTGCTTTGAACCCGATCGCACCTACTTTCTTTTGATTTAAATTCACTTTTCAAGCATATTATTACTTGCCGTTATTTGTCATGATGTTCTGGAATTATTCACTTCTTTTTTATAAAGATATTTCCCGGTGTGAAAATTATCGAATTGATCACTAAAGTATTGTAGTAAGTATTTAATTTGCACTGTTTATGGAATTGGTTGAAAAAACTGTTACCTATAGGTGTAAGTCGCCAATCCAATTCGCGTTGACCAATTTTCAGTTTGTTTATCTATAAGTTTAACAAATGTAGTACAATACTTTGACTTAGGGCTTCATATATAGTCCATAGGCAAGAAAAAATCGATCGAGAATTGAAAAACCTGTTCCTTATGAATTTTGTAATTATTTTAATGCCTATTTTAATACTTATTTTATTTTATTATTCACTAGTTATTATTATTATTTATATATGTATGCCTTATACCTGTATATGTTATTTTATCAGCGATAGCTCTGTTTTTCTCGTTTACTATTAAACTAGCATAAAAAGCCGACACAGAATATTTGTCCGCGCCTTTGATAGAGATAACTTGAATAGGTGAACTTGTGAGTGAAAGCAAAAAAATATATTCACTTTCATTTGTACATTCTTAAGGAAAAATTTATAGTTTTTCCTAATATATAATTGTCAAAGAGATATTTGTAGTAATAATTATAGTTGGTTAGAATGGTCTAATAAATATAACATGTAAGTAACTCAGGAGGTGCCTACGTCGAGGTGTACGGATATCGCAATATATAACAAGTAAGTAGATGTATATGTATATATATATATATATAAATATATAATATATATATATATATATATATATATATATATATATATATATATATATATATATATATATATATATATATATATATATATGTATGCATAATGGGAAATTTTATAAACTTACTGTGTTTGTTGACATTTTTTTATTATACATAAACTGTGATAAAAACATTTAATTTTAAACGTAATGTACAAAGGCAAGCGGGTTTTTAGCGGGTGCACTGTACAATACAGCTCTTATCAATTTGATGATGCATAAAAATTTACTCGTTCGAGGTTTGAGAAAGTGTATGACAGGCATTTAACATAACTGTGCGGATTTGTGTGGTTAGGTTTGTATCTATTGTATCAAGATCATAGTTATATATGGCATGTATTTGCAGCAATAGCGATGCAATGAACGACTTCAGTAAAATAACATATGTTTTAATTTCGAACAATTAGCATAAGAGTACTTAATTTTTATGCAGTTAGTCTATCTTCATCTTTATTCGTAGTCTATTAATATTCTTGATAGGCGATGGTTACTACTTTCCATCAGGTGGGTCGTTCTTGTTCGCCATTCTTAGTGACATAAAAAAAATTAATGGTATTTTTAAGTCAACAGTCGGCAAATGTAGGCAATAAATGAAATTTTTAGTTATATTTTGGTTTCATATTGTTTTTTTGCCTTCGCTGAAAATAGAAGTGTGTCCCAGAGATTCCCACAAAAAAAGTCCTGTCGATTCATTGACTTTCTGTAACTCATTAATGTTCCTGTTCTATTAGCTACACATACGCTGCACATACAGGGTCATCATTAGAAATTCTCATTTTATTTTGGACTTTCCCAGTATGACCTTATATATCGATAAAGGATTTGTTAAGCGTAGCGATTTCAACCAAATACTAACAAAAGACTATAGACGTGAAAAGAAAATTATAAATAATTCATCTTTTCTATGATTGCTTTAAGGTACCTGTTGAAAGATGATATTCAGGAACATTATTAAGGTCATGGACTATATTAGGCAACGTGCCTACTTGTCTTTCAGGGATGTCATTAAATGAAACCTTTTAAGCCTAATGTTCAGATTTATTGTGCCTCTTATTCTTCTATGGTCATTTTTTGTTTTTATTAATAACTATCTCGCAATAAATTTTCCTAAGCACAGCAGTGACTGAAAGAAACTTAAACGTTATGCGTTATCTCTCCATAATGTTCGTTTACTGGTTCCTTATCTTAGATCCTGTTAATTGTAGAACTAATAATCATGTTATCAAAATGTTATCAAAACTGGATTTCATAAGCGAAGTGTGGTTTGACATAATGGAAATGCAACTACATGAGTACGTTTAGTGTTAATTTTTATCACGATTATTGTTGCCCACAGCAATGACCTAAATTCAAAGTTTGTGATGATCAACATAAAATTGTCGCCCACGCGCCGTGTCGTGACATACCTAGTCGCGCATTGACAATGTAAATACGATTGTCAACAGTGGAATAAATAAATATTTATCTAGAGGCAATACGAGGCGAGATGAGTCGGGTAACCATTGTATTTAGCGGCTAGTGGCGGCGCGCGGGCGACCGGTCTCTCATTCATTCATACCGAATGGAATGAATTAAAAGGTTCTGATGTAATCTACTCGTGTAAGTCAAGTCTATATTTACAGACAATAAAATACATTATATTGTTTTACACACACGGTTATATGATGCAAAGAATTAGGTACTTATATGTAATGTAACAACAGGTGTGAATGGACATAATATTATCATAATGTGTTCCACAAGTGAAAAATCTAGTTCTAAATACAGATAGGCGATAAATAATGATTATTAACTAGTTTCAGATTTAATAGAGAATGTTGAGAATGTAACTTACCGTAGGGCAATAACATCGCAATATTCCAAATAAACATAAACATTTCTGGAGCACAGTTATAACATTTCATACGCGTGCCACTAGCAACTGCTTTTATCGTACTAATCTACACTAATCTAGTGCTGATTCATTTTTATCTTTTTGTAAGTTTCGTTATCTTTCGGCTGTAAATTATTTTGATGGTTCAGATGGAAAACAAACAATATTGTTGGGTTCGAAGATGGATTTTCGGAAAATTCTGTACATTTCTAAAACCTTGATGGTGTGATTGCGCGCCATTATGACGACTATATTTAGGTATTACCTAAACCACATTTAGATAGATATGATCGAGGAACTATCATAATTATATTCAGTCTTGGCACGTGTTCTTTATGTACAGAAATTCAAATGTTTCAGTTACGTTTATAAACAGCTAAGATAAGAAGTAAAAACGTTAACTACCACATCTATCTCGGTTTGACGTGTATGCTTTCCAAATATTTTTTTTATATGGCTCATCTATGACGTATAAAAATGATAGGTATCTATTATAAAACTAGACGTTTATAATCTTCAATATTAGGTGTAATAAAATTATAAAGACTGAAAAGCATTTCTAATATTTACAAAAATTGGCAATGGACGCTAGAAATATGTCATATGTCTTGTATACTTACCTATTATAACAACTAATTTGTACCATGTGGCATGTAAATAAATATAAATAAATAAATAAAAGTAGTTTGTTAGTAATGTTTTTTATGTACGATCCTAATTACTATCTGTCATCATATTCAAGAAGCGGTCATTAATACTATAAGTACAGATAGAGGACATTTTATCTATGAGTTATGCAGGTTGTGTGTGTGTGAGATTTTATCTTTAGTATAATTATAAATTTGAAATTGAGTTTGATATACCTTATAGCGCCTGAACGATTTAACCAATCACTTCTTCTTAAGGTGCCGTCTCCTATTGGAGGTTGGCAATCACCATGGCGATCTTAATCTTATCCACCGCCATTCTGAAAAGTGATCTGGTGTTCATTCCGAATCATTGCTTTAGGTTTTTTAACCAGGAGATTCGGCGTCTTCCTGATTTTCGGCAACCAACCAATCACTATGAAATTTCCTTTTTATCCCGGCCAGTAAACATATTCCGAACCCGCGATGTCGCGGGTAATAGCTACTTATAGATATTTCTCTTATTTATGGTAAGTTTGATCATAGGTATTTTAAAAGGGTGAGTTGTGTTTGCATGGCTGTATTTCGGTTTGAAGGGTGGGATAGGCGTGAATTTACTTGGTGCAGAGGAATAACACCTGAGTCCTCAGGAATGGCAACGCATGGGGGGTATCATGGGCGAAACAGTGTACTCCGTTATGTCCATGGTACTGCTCATGTCTAGGCGATGGTTACCACTTTTCATCAGGTGGGCCGTCAGCTTGTTTGCCATTCTAAGTTGTATTAAAAAAAGTGTGTCAGTTTATGCTAATACAATATACAATGGATAGATATACCAATGAAGTGGTTTAAGTGGTATTAACTACGTGCCAATCTAATAAGGTATAATCCTTTCCTTGCTTAATTATTGAATGTGGGTGGGCACATAAGCAAATGTATGATAAAAAAACATACATATACGTTTTTGGCAATTCGCAACTGTATTTGTTTATTCAGTTAGCTTGAGAATTTTGTTTTTTAGTAGTCATATAAGAAAATTGAATGCTTCAAAAGCGCCGACGTTATTTTAAATACTTAAATTGTATTGATAAATTATTTATCAATTCTTATGTAAATTATTCTATTTATTTTATCATGCTGTCTGATTTTGTTTTCATCGTTTCAAACATAAAAGGTAAAAAGAAACTTTAATTATGCAACTTTGTTAGACCGTCTGTCACAGAGCTATATTTCAGCAAGCTAGTGGTTGCTGATCTCTTTTTTGTAAATTTGGAATAGCTATAGAAATTATTAACCTAACTTTTTGCAGAATAATAATATGAAAAGAATTAACTTTTTTTTTGCAAGAGTGCTAAGATGGAGAATTAAAATTTCTAATTGAAGTGCCTTTACTTACGAATAGAATAGAAATCAGCTGTATGCTCCAAAACCTGTTTGTTTTTTTATTACGCTATGTAAATTTTGACTCATCCTAATGTAGTAATGTAATAATATGACCCATTTCGCTTTTATGCGAGATTTGGGAAGTGGTCTGAATGAAAAAAAAAAATGTTAAAAAGGTATATAACAATTTTACGGGCAATATAGAACAATTTGTTTCTACATATAGTCACATTTACTGTTTAAAATTGATTATCATGAAAAAAAGCTGTTCATTGATTATTTATGGAGCACTCTACGTGTAAGTCCAATTCGTACTTGACTGACTTTTTATGTTTTACGAGGTCTGTCCGGAAAGTTCGTATAAAAGTGTTCTGGAATGCGAGAAAGAGGAGTGGGGAGGCCAGGTAAGCGCAGGACCCCTTCCTTATGTCCCTAACAATGCTTCAGTTCTGGTCTGACCGCCGTGCGGTGCGAACTGGCTTGTCACGCCATCTGTGAAGTTACCTCTTAACGAAACCCCGTCGGCATGGAGCCCGCTTCCGTTGAAGAGCAGCGCGTCGTAATCAAGTTTCTCTCGAAACTCGGCAAGAATGGCCGTGAAATTTTTGCCGATCTCAGAACAGTTTATGGGGATGATGCTGTGAAGGAACCAACCGTCCACAAGTGGCTAAAAAGATTCAGAGAGGGCCGAGAAAGCATCAAGAATTCGTCCCTCCAGGCCAGACAGTTGATGGAAAATTCTACGTCGATGTGCTCAGACGCCTCAAAGCTCGTGTGGCACGAGTTCGTCCAGAATTGGCGCGAGAGGGGCGTTGGATTCTTCACCACGACAATGCCCCTGCCCACACCTCTCTTGTTGTCCGTGAGTTTTTGAGTAAAAATTCCATTACGGTGACCGAACACCCCCCTATTCGCCGGATTTGGCCCCGTGTGACTTCTTCTTGTTCCCAAAAACCAAATTGGTACTTCGGGGGCGGCATTTGGGGGACATAAATGAGATAAAAAAAGCTACGACGGGGCAGCTGAGAAACCTACAACCAGAGGACTTTCAAGGAGCCTTCTCACAGTGGAAACGGCGTTGGCACAAGTGCATTATGTCACAGGGGGAGTACTTTGAAGGGGATAAAATTGATTTACCTGAATAATTGTAAAATAAAATTTTTAAAAAACTTTTATACGTACTTTCCGGACAAACCTCGTAATTAGCATAAAAAATGGATCGAGGAAGCATAATTTGTCGGTTACTTCTTGTCTGTCTTTAGTTAATTACTCTCTTTATATTGCTTATGTGTGAAAGAAGCAGATATAAAAGCAAAATAATAAAGAGTTATAAAAAAATATAGATCGCTAATGCGTTTTTAAAGAAGCATTTTAAAATTAAACTGCAAAAAAATAAAAATGAAAGGATGCTCTTATTTTAACTAAGAATTCTGAAATAAAAATAACTTTAAGATTATGTTATTAATTTTTAAAAATACATAAGTAGGTATAAAATTGTTATTAAATGTATCCAGTTTTATGGGCCATTTTTTTATTATTTCAGTCATTAACTCTCTACTGCTGAACATACCCAAGTTTTCCCTATAAGATGAGTTTTGCCAGTAGTTAATATATAGTTCATCTATAGAAAGAACAATAGAACATTTATGTTTATTCTTTCTGATTATTAATTGTAAAAATACAATTCCTAAACGTTTTAAATTTATCTGTTTATCGTTTTATCATCGTTTGATAAGAAAGATAGTATTTTTTTATAGAGATATTCGAAAAAAATAAAATAAACAGCGATACTTAAAATAAGATGTTAACGTAAATATAATACTCTCAACAAAATAGTGATAACAACAGTAAAGGAATAGCAACACGCTTCATCGATCGACGGAGGTGTCATGTCACTTCCTAACTGAGACAATCTACCTACTACCAAATAGGGTTGGAAGTGAACTTACATACAATGTTAATATAGCAGTTAGAACATAGGAATAGGAACCTAATTGTACTACAAAGAAGGTTCTGTGTAGTATAAAATATATTTATGTCTTTACACGTGCAAAATAGTGCTCGAGATCGCGTTTGTCATGGTTATACATGCGACGGCGACGTCGTGTCGGCATGCAGTAGTCACATGGATGCCGCTGATAGATAACACGATTTAAATCCTGGGATGAATGTTGACTCCGTTTCGCCATTTATTTAAGGTCGGATAACCTTTTGGCAGATTTGGGACGTTGTTTAGTTTGAAAAGAAACAATAATTAAAATATAACGGTTTCGTCAGCGCAAATATCCCGCAAATAGTAGCGGATAATAGCTATAAAGAAATTAAAACATGTTATCATTAGTAGGTAGTTAGCGTTAAATATTTTATAGATAATGTTAAAATATAAATTAACAAGCGACTACAGCAATCAGTCACTGCAGAGATGAATTATTTACTAAAAAAATACTAATGTTAGCAATTAATTTTACAATTATTTCACTTGTGAGATATGCATGAAGCTAATGTTCATCAAACGTAAAGATCAGATAATGCTAAGCAGAATTAGAGGTGTCAAGCCATTATCTATAGGCATCTTTAATTCTTAAGTGTTTCGGGCGTTACAATTTAGGAGCGGCATGCTTTCACTCACGGGGACCAATTAATTCTTGGTCGGTACATTAACTGTTCGATAAATTTCTCGAAAAACCGCCGGCGACCGTCGATAAGAGGACCCGTTCGGGAACTCTTCTGTTGATTAAAAAGGTTTTATTTATCTTGGACAATTTGTTAATGCCACTCTTCTTGCCTTCCGGTAGCCGTGTAATTGAATCTTCTGGTTTTCGAAGATTTATTGCGCTCGTTTCACAGAGCTACCGTCCTTTGATTAGCGGGCCTATTTAAATTGTAGCAAACTTAATTTGTGTGTTTTCTTAAGTGGTGTTTTAATTGAATTCCACTACCTCATTATATTTTATAATGTATGCAGCCATAAAAATAACTCATTATAATTGTAATAAATCATGGGCAGATTTGTATGGCAGAGGAGTGGTTTGTGACATTTTACGAGGACAATAACGTCTTTAATAGATTGATTATTATTAGTGTTAATGGATTTTTTGGGATGT